GGAAATTAGAAGCAAATCTTGGTATCCAAATTGAAACTCCTCCTTTCTTGTAGAAGTTAGCTTTTAAGATCCCAGGACAGTGTAGAACACTTCAGGTGCTGCTAGGGGGCACCAGAGTACACTGGGCCTGGAGTTAGGAAGGCACGAGTTCAAATCCAATCTCAGACACTTACCATCTTTGTGACCCTGAGCAAGTCACTTAACCTCTGCTTGCCTGTTTCCTCAACTGTAAAATGGGTATAATAGTAGCACCTACCTGCCAGGGCTGTTGTAAGGATCAAATGAGATAATATTTGCAAAGTGCTTAAAAGGCACAGTGCCTGGCACAGAGTAGATGCTATATAAATGCTTATCCACCCCCCTTCAGGGTACCTCCTTTGAGTGGTATCCACAGCACACCCTACACGTGAGAATGGCAGAGGCCTCCTGACCTTTGTCGACATGGGAATCCTAGCTCCCACACGTCCTGTGCTCCAGCCCTAAGCAGCTCCTGATGCCTTTGTGAGGTTGGAGGCTTAGAATCCCAGCTTTCAAATGGAGGGTTCTCAGTGTTTCATGTGAACAAGACCAGAAGCGCTTTTCCTAACTGAATGTTCTACTCAACCCTGAGAGCAGATACAGACTCTGGCTTTTAAAGGACCCGGATCTTAAAGTCCCTTCAGATGGGTGTAGGCTGCTTTTGTCGTAAATGAATATAGTGAATTCTGTGCCAGCACCTTCTGCCCTGATAGGACTGGCACTGGGCAGAAAAGAGCTGACGGGGAGGGGCTTCTGAGCAGTCTGGATAGATTCGGGCAGTGCCAGGCCCTGGTGCAGAGCATCACTTCTGCAGGAATCCCAGATACCCCCCAAGCCACCCTGAAAATGCCCAAGCCAGCCCTTGGGGCAGGGCTCTGAATACTGACGGTGCCCAACACCAACCTGGGTAAGGGGGCCGCAGACACACTCCTCACGGGCCCTCCCATCTTGTTAACACCCTTCATCAAGTCCTGGATTAATTCCATCCAAGGGACAGCATGGAGAATGTGGGCTTTTCCACCAGCAGTGGGAACAGTACAATATGCAGTGACTTTATTATTGAGGGAGCTGTTGGGAGTTACTGAACATAGAGTGTGTGACTCCAGGTATGAGAAAGTTCCTCTAAGTCATTCACAGAAATTAATATGATTAGAGCAGCTAGGGTGCCAGACCTAAGTCCGGAGACCTGAGTTCAAATCCTGGCTCCAATATCATCCAGCCTAGTGACGACAGGTAAATGGCTTCCCGGTGATCTCTTCCTCTGTAAAACAAAGGAGTTGGGGTAGAAGCTTTCTATGCTTCCTTTCATCTCTAAATCCTCTGATCTTCACTATGTATCCCTGATGAATAGGGAGAGAGGGACTCCTGTGTGTCCGGAATAAGACGTTTCAAACCGACACGTTAAGATAGAGTGCCGTAGTCTGCCGGACAGACGTGTCTGCCAGACTAACTTGGATCGGCGTTCCCCAGGGCAGCGCCTTCAGCAGGCCACCTCAACCAGATTCATCTCCCAGGGCACTGAATCGCAAGTGAAAGCGGATAAACTGAGATCACACAAGAATCATGATAATTGTAACATTTGGTAACATTTAAGACATAAAAATCTTAAATGTTATAAAATCATAACAAATCATAAAATGTTATAAAATCTTAACAAATCACAAAATGTTATAAAATTATAACAAATCATTTTTAAAAATCATAAATAGTAACGTTTAAGATGCAGGAAAAGAGGAAAGTGCTTTGTTTCATCGTCCACATTTAAAAACCTTTATTTAGCATTGATCAGTGGGGCTTCACCTATTGCTGGGTGAGAAGACACACGCACAGTAAAGTACAAACCAAGATATTATACATATGGGGGAGGGTGGTAAGGGGACAGGACGAGCACAGATGAAATCCTAGGTCTACTGACTGGCAACTCCAGTGTCTCGCCTCTTCCCCACGATGGTATGGTTCATTTCAGTAACTCCCCAAGGTTTGGGATGAAGATCCGGGCAGTAACCAGGACCCCTTTCTCACTCCCCTTGTGTGCATTAGCCATCGTCAGCCAGTCCAGCGGCCTGGCGGCCAAATTTGTCATCCACTGTCACATCCCTCAGTGGGGCTCGGACAAATGTGAAGAGCAGCTTGAAGAGACCATTAAGAACTGTTTGTCGGCCGCAGAAGACAAAAAGCTCAAGTCCGTGGCTTTCCCACCCTTCCCCAGCGGCAGGTGAGATGCAGGCACCAGCAGAGATCCCCCTGACTTACTCATTCGTCCCCTGGTCCTATGAGAATTAGGTGTCAGATGCACCCGGTGATTCTTAGCACATTTATAAGCATCACGGAGAAAACACGTCATCATTATTAAGAGCAGGGGCCAACAGCAAGGTAGAAACCATGCTGGGTCAGCTCTGAAGACGTACAGGCTCACAGCCCCGGAATCCCCATGAGGCACCGGGGCTCGTGATCCCGAAATTCTGACATTGACCGCCCACATTGGAAGAGCTGGGTACAATGTCATTTAGAGATGAAGAAAGAGAAGGTTCCACCAAATAGAAGTAATATCAAGCTAATACCGACTGACCATCTATCGGGTCAAAGCTCCAAGCAGCAACTGCCCATAGTGGTCAGAATATGCCGGAATATCCCCAGAGACAGAGAACCAGAGATAGCATCAGAGACAGAGATAAAAAGGAGGCGCCTAAGCAGAGGTGTGGACACACAGGAAGGATCATTAGTCTCAGACCAAGAAGCCACCCCATTCAGAGACAGACTTTGACTCTACCCATCTACTCCAGAAATGTCCTTAATTTATTTTCCAGGTTACCAAGGCCTGAGCAATTTACAAGAAAATGACCTCAGTGTTTAGAAAGGCCCTCCCTTCTCTAACAAGAAGGCCCCTGCTCTGAAGAGTAGAGAGAATTGTCCATTTAGAAGCCCTCTGGTTCAGGGCCCCAGACAGAGCGGAGGTTTGCAAGGAAAACCCCCCAGGGTCCTGCCTCAGTGTCCTCATTAAACCTTACAGAAAGCAGCATGCTAGTTGACAAAAAGCCATATTTGCTTTTGTAGCTTGGAAAAGGCAGCTGGGTGGACCCGAAAGGGAGCAGAGGTCTGGGTTTGAATCCTAGCTCCACCCCTTAAAGGCTGCATTGACTTCTCTGAGCTTCAGTTTCCTCCTCTATAAAATGGGGGGAATATACCACACACCACACACCTCCCAGGACTGTCTTGGGCAAAGCAGTATGGAAATGGGAGCTCCACAGAACTCCGGTTGGGGCCTATTTTATGCATGAGACTGGAGCTGCTGGGCCATGAGGATCATCAGAAGATAGCTGGCCTATCACTGCTTCTCAAGGCTAGGTTTAGGGATCAGACCTAGGATTTCACTGGCAAAGGGGACTCGAAGATCAGGAAAGACAGTTCTACAACACGGCCCCTGTACGTTTCAGGCTGAGAATAAAGAGGACGCGGCTAACATGGAAAGCGGTTTTGATGTCTTTATAGATTTTATTTTTTTTGCTTTCTCAATGGGTGGGGGAGGGGGAGGGGGGCAGGGAGAGAATTTAGAACTGAAGATAAAATTAAATGAAAGACGCCTGGTTTGGAGTCCTGGCTCCACAAGTTACCCACTGGGTGACTGAGCGAGTCACTCTGCCTTTACAGTTGTCCATTTCCTCAAATGCAAAGTAATAACGATAATAATAATAACAACATTATTATTATAGTACTTGGACAACCTTCATTATAGGGTGGTTGTGAGTGAAGCACTTTGTTAATCTTAAGCTTTTAGTAGTAATGCTTCCAATGTCTCTTTTGCCCTATGGAATCATAAGATCCTTAGCTCTTCAGCTGCAAAGAGTCTTAGAAGCCATCTAGGCTGGTGCCCTCATTTTACAGAAGAGGAAACTGAGGCCCAGGGAGGGGAAGGCTGCTGACACAACTTACCCTTGCTTGCAGAGAGCGGCATTTTAAAATGCTCCATCATCGGGCGTTACAGGCAAAAGCATCATTGCCTCATAGGCAAGCTTCTGGCAATGAGTTATCAGAGTTACTAGGAATTCCAGCAATGTGCTTTCGGACATTCCTCCCCCACCCCACCCCACACACTCATACACACCCCTACATCCATAAGCCCAGCAGCATCTGACTGATTGTGTTTCCTCCCTCTTCTCTGTACAGAAACTGCTTTCCCAAACAGACTGCGGCCCAGGTGACCCTCAAGGCCATCTCAGCCCATTTCGATGATTCCAGCTCCTCATCCCTGAAGAATGTCTACTTCCTGCTCTTTGACAGCGAGAGCATTGGCGTCTACGTGCAGGAAATGGCCAAGCTGGACGTCAAGTAATCCCCCACAGCCGGACCCTCTTTGTATTCTCCCTCTACAGGGATCTGAAGAGGATTCAGCTTGGAATGAGAGTTGGGCATTGATTTAAAAAAAAAAATGAGGAAGGGAGAGGGTGGGAGATGGAGGCAGCCCCGTTTCCTGGAGAATGAGCACTCCCCAACACGGAGAGGGGGGAGCGGTTCGAGCTGTCACTAACTCCAGTCCTCATGAGAAGTGCCCATCCCCCATTTTCTATTCACCTTAACTATCCTCCGTCCCACATTATCCTGGGCCTTCCCCGGGATTGCTACACGTGTCTCTTCTTGTCATTTTAGAACTTATTTTCCAAGGACAGACCTCGTTTTAGATTTGTAGCATTGACTTTTACAGGCAAAAAAAAAAAACTTTCAAAATTCTTAAAAAAAAAAAAAAAATCTTCTGTTCCTCTTTCTTTTTTCAAGAGGGGAGGGCATGACAAATGACTTTGGTTTTGTCTGTTGTCTACATTCCATGTCGGAGAGAAAAATCTGAAAGACATTTTTCACTTGGTGCTTTTCTCAAATATGTTTTCTCCCCCTAATAATCTCTGTAACTTCTGATGATGTTTCTCTTCAGGCTTGTTTGTTTTTTAAGGAAAAAAGAAAAAAAAGCAAAAAGATATCCAGAGTCCTTCTTATGATACTCAATTCTATCGCAACAGATTTTTTATTTCCCAAAATTAAAGTCATTTCATTGTGTTGACATATGCCTGGAATAAGATAAGGACACAGCCTGCTCCCTCGATGGTGTAGGACCAATGCCAGCCCAGACCCAGAGTTAGGCTCCCACCTCCCAAGCCTATTGGTACAGCAAAGCTCCCCACCCTACTTTTTATACCTTCTATGGAGTGGGATATGGTTAAAAAAGGGGGGGGACCCACGGCTTTCTTCTCTGCCAGCTTGGACAAGTCATTTCACTTCTGAGTCTCAATCTCCCCATCTATAAAATGAGAAGGTTGAACCAGATGCCAACTAAGGTCCCTTTCAGCTCTAAGATTCCGTGGGCCTACGGATCTCAGGTAGAGCCTGTTACTATCGTGGGCTGCCTCCTCAAGTGAGCAGCTATTCTCGTAGGGAAAGAGTCACATTACAGGTCTGGAAATTAGGGGAGAAGAAGCAGGTCCTCCTCTAAGAATGGTTCTGAACCTCCACAGGGTAGTGCAATGGTTAGGGCAATTACTGAGAAGTTACCGGCCCAAGCAAGTTAATTTGACTAGGTCGGCACTCCATGCCTTCGGCAAAGGAGAAGCAACCAAAAGAAGTCTAAACTAAGAAGTTTCCTTTGAATTTGAGCCAATTATAAGTTAATATCAGTGGCCTAATTCTCTTCCCATCTAGCCTTGACAGAAAGGATTCTGAAAGACAAGTGAGGGATAGAAAACCACACCTGAAAACACAGGTCAATAACAGCGCCTTAAAGTAAGTTGATGGTGGGTCTGCTAAAGGAAAATAACCCAAGCGCATGAGTAACATGAGATTTAGAGCCGGGAAGACAGGAGTCCATGTTTGATCCCAAGTCTCCTCACTCCAAATCCAGTGCTCTTTCCACTCCTCACATTGGCTTAGAATTCTGGCTTATGATGTCCCAGTGTTAGCCAGGAAACCAAAGCTAACTACTGGGGGGACGTGAGCACAGGATTTGCAACAAACCTTCACTGCTGGCTCATTTCATCAAGCTGACCCTTAGCCACACCAGGATGGTCAAAGACCCTCCATCCAGAGGCAGGTAAGTATTTAATATGTCAAGAACCGTTTTGTTGAGGGGATCAGCAGACCTGTGCTTCTCTAATATTAAACATGCCTCCCTTACACTCCTCCTCCCATGTCTCTTTAAGATGTGGAATTGACCATGGAGTCTCAGGCAGTTACCCCAACAGAATTCAAGCTCTGGAAGGTCCTACAAAAAGGGAAATACTTTTGAGTTTGAGGAGCTGGTGATGAACACGGGTCCCAGGACCCACCTGAGCGAAGAAGTGAGATGGCATTTCAACCAAAAAGCTGGCCACCAGGGGGAGCATTTTATGACCAAAGTAACTCGCCAAATTATTCTAAGGCAGACATGGGGAAGGGTTGGGATCAGTGTGGGGAAAAAATACTCACATCGATAAAATCACAGATCTTTGGAAGTCTTAAGTACTAGCAGTAGTACAGTAATGTAGCAAAGGGTATACTACTACTGTTCCGTTTTCCTAATTATCTGAAAGTTAAGAGGCTGGGAAGAGAGCATCCTTTCTTGATGGATTAATCTAGCTGGTAATTTGACCTTAAGACATTTTGCCCTCCTAAAATTTATCTGATATTACAGAGAGAGGAGCTAAAAGTAGAGACGTGAAAAGTTTCATCATTTCAATAAGTTTATGGCTTGTCTAGCACTAATTGAAAGTTAAGGACAACTTAAGTCTGGCTGCTAAACAATGAACACCATGTTCATTCACCTGAAGTCTGTCCAGCAGATGAGCCTCATCTCCCCCAGGGATACCCAGACTAGCACGCTGTCTGCCTTTAGAAGGGGAGAGGGGCTGAACCCACCCATCTACTCCCACTCTTTCACTCATTTCCCACTAACGGGAGGCAAAGTGATAAAAGTCAGAGTCAGAGGACATGCCTTGGAATTTCACCTGTACCTCTTCGCAGGAAACCTAGAGTACATTCTCTCCCCCTTTGCTACCGCAATAACAGAAGGCCCGGGGCATGCCTTGAGACTTGTCTGCTTTTCTATCCCTAGTCAGATGGTTCAGGATGCCCACTTCCCAAGGGATCGGCTAGCCACGGGTGACTGGATACCCTCACCTGAGACCAAGCAAGTGAATGACTTTGTCCAACCTAAAAATGACCCTTTTAGGAAATATTTTTCTAATGCTTCCTCTCGTGTGCTAGACAGCACCTTCAGGAGATGCCAGAAATCTAACAAGCAATCCTGTCGATACATCAAAACAATCATGAGCCTAGAGAGGAATTGCTTCCTTCTGCTATCTCAGTCCATCTGATGTTTTCTGTCCATCTTTTTTATCTTCCTTTTTTTTTCAATCCACTGATTAATTGGTTTCTTTACCTTTTCTTCTTTCCCCTTACTCTCTATGAGGGTGCCGTCTGCCTCATCGTTTTCCAGCTTGTGGAGACAAACAGGTCCCGGCTCTTGGCAAACCTGACCACGAGCCGTCCGACGTAGAAGCCGCTAATCTGGCCCACACCATCATTTCTTCCCATAGACAGCAGAAACGTCAGTGCACCTAGAACAGGTCGACAAGGAAGAGGAATTGGTTGTGTTTAACATTCACAGGCTCTGACTCCTAGCAGCCTCAAGCCATTATCTTATCCAGCCCCCTGCCTCTGGGAAAAGTAATCAGCTCAAGCAAATGGCTGCCTATTTCATTTTTTTAAAAACTGCCAAGGATGGAGAGAACCATAAGCAATTTCGGTTTGTTTAATCACCTTTATAATCGAGTCATGTCTAACCAAACTGTCTAAAAAAGGCAGTCTCGGGCTCTTGCCTAGAGCCCCCCTTTACCTGGCTTGTAGGTCTTGAGTGGCTTCTGCTTCAAACTGTTGACAATGTTGGTCACAACAACATTGGCATGTAGTCCAGCATGGTACGCCATCTTGGGTTCCTTCACATTAGCACAGTCCCCAATGGCATAGATATTACTAAATCCCTGCACCTGGAGGTGATCATTAACCATTAAGGCGCCATTATCAGCCATTTGATCACCTGTGGAACAAAATAAACATCATTACTTTGAATCTTAACTACTCCTTAAACTAGTCATTAGGGTAAGAGGAGGATGGGCATTCAAAGCTGGCAAAGTCATTACCAAAAAGTTCATCCTTAGAGAAACCTCTTTCACATGGTCTTGGTTTTTGGCTAAAGCCCTTGTGCCAACATCTGGAAAATGACACCGATTCTCATGTGGAAAATGTGGCTCATGGAAAAGCATCGATTTTGCAAAAACACTTAATTCTGACTGGTGGGTATTTACATGGAATAAAGGGAAGTGAGGTGTGCAGCCCTGGACAAATCTCTTCATCTCTCTGGGGCTTCAGTTCCCTGGTCCACAAAGTGGGGTGATGACATCTGCCCTGCCCTGCCACAGGACTGTTGGGAAAAAAGTACTACAGAAATGTAAGCTGGTACTATTGGGGATTATAATCATCATCATTATATGACAGCTCCATTGTTCGATTTCCCTATTTCTTTTTGAGCATCTTGTTGGAAAGTTTTTAAAAAACATATGCAATGCCTTAGAAGAAGGTAAACAACTACTTAAAAATAAACAGAGTACAGGGGAGTGAGGGAAGATGAGCCTTGGGTTCAAATGCCAGCTCTGCTAATCACTGACCTGTGCGACCTTAGGAAAGTGATTTTCTCTCTCTTTGTGGCCTCAGTTTCCACCAGTAGATTGTAAGCTTCTCGAGGGAAGGGTTTTAGTGACGTACATGCTCAACATGAGTCAACAATATGACGTGGCAGCCAAAAATGCCATCGTAGGTTGTACAAGCGTCCAGAACTCAATAAGACTCTCCAAATTAAATTGAGATATATTTTAATATCCTAAAAATGTTGTTACAAAAATGAAGTTTAAAGGAGTGAAAAATGTCAGAAAATATGACTCGCAATCAAACAAAAGAGCCTAAAGGTTCTCAGGCACCCCAGGACCTAATGCCTACAATATCAGCACTTTCTTAGAAAAGAAGCAGGAAAAACGAAATTTTGACTCGTTACGAACACACAGATCATTTCCAGATCCACTGTTTCTGTTGTCTGATTACTGACTTGTTAGCACAAAGACCATCCCAGTCAAATGGAAGAATAAATATGAAAAGGGGGGCAGTATGGCACAGGAGAAAAAAATAAAAACAGCAACTTTGGGGTTGTAGACCCTGAGTTCAAGGTCACCTTGTGACCTTGGGCAAGTTACAATCTCTGAGCCAATTTCATGTATAAGAAGGTTGCACTAAATGGCTTCTAAGGTTACTTAGAATATAGCAATAAATACAGACGACCCTATGAGCCCAAAAATGATGTGCAATTAAAATAATTCCATCTTGACCTTTTTAAACATCATACACACACACACACACACGCACAAAATGGGAAACAGATAAAGGAACAGACCAACCCAGATTATCACCATTTCCAAAGGAAGTTGAACTGAAAAATAATTCCAAGGGAAATCACACAGAGAGTTAATAGCAGCCAAAGACAATTCCAATTTAGTACGTAAACCCATCTTAGAAACTCTCAGAGCAGAGAACAGTGGGAGATTATGAGCAGTCAAGCATGGAATGAGACCCCGCCAAGCCAGACGATCCCAGGAGTAGGTAATGGGGGAACAGAAACAAGGACCACAGTCAAAAACAGAAAAGAGACACCAGTTTCTATAAATTCTCCTTCTCATTAATGAAACCATGACTCTTGGACTTTAAGACAGGAGTCCCCATTGTACCACGTGGAAGTAAAAGCCAGCAGAAGAAACAAGGATGGGGCAGCTAGAGTAGACCATGCATGCAGAGACTGGAGGTAACACAATTTTTAGGGTGCTAAGGGATCGATTCTCAACATATCTGAAAAAATGCATGAAAGATACCAAAAAACTTGGGAAAATAACTAACATTATTAATACCTCCCAAAATGTACAAGCAGATATCAATAACTACCCATCTATATGCTTACTTTCTAATCCCTACAAATTCTTCATATCAAGGGTGTCCTTGACCATAACATGAGAATAATGGAACAGGCCAGCTCCCACAAACACCATGCCACAACAGAGCACGTTTTCACGGTCATGTAATTGACTCAAAAGGTAGAACATATACACAATCTCACTTTGCTTATTGTTTGCTAACTAAAAATAGCATGAAATAGCATTTCAGCTATTAAAACTGTGCTTACTCTTTGCCCCAGTGATACCACCACTGGGTGTATGCCCTAAGGAGAGGAAAGAAAGAGAAAAAGGTCCCATATGTATAAAAATATTTATGGCGGCTCTTTTTTGTGGTGGCAAAGAAGGGGAAATTGAAGGAGTGCTTATCAGTTGGGTACTGAATGAGTTACGGCATACGAATGTGACAGAAAACTAAAAAATGATGAAGGGGATGGTTTCCGAGAAACCTGGGAAGACTTGCATGAACTGATGCAGAGTGAAGTGAGCAGAACCGGGAGGACAATTTATATAGTCATAAAGACAAACAATCAAAAGACCTGGGAACTCTGATCAACACAATAACCAACCCCAACTGCAGAGGAATCATGATGAAATATGCTGCCTTTCCCCTTGAAATAGAGAGCTGGTAGACTCAGAGCGCAATTTTGGGGGACATGGTCAACGAGGGCATTTTTTCTGCTTGACTATAATGCCTATAAGAGGGGTTTCATCTTTTTTTTTTTTTAATTTCTCACCTGGAGGTGGAGGAAGGGAAGTGACAGAGAAAAAGTAGATCTTCATTTGCCAAAAATTAATAAAAAAAGAAAAAACTAAGCATTTGCTCTCACAGTACAAAACAGTGTTCAAGTCTCCTCCTCTGTATATTTTAAGGCCATACAAGAATCCTTGATAGATGCAATAAAAAAAGGTAACTTGGTTTGGCGATCCTCTGATGATTACTATCAAGCAAGGTATCAAACAGGGAGACACGGGTGTTTGCCAGCCTCACAGGGGACACAGCCAGTGCTGCAAAGAAATGGAAGACAGATGGAAAAGTCCTCTAGATGTGTAGTTCTGCTGACTGCATCATGCCCCAGGATGCTATAGTCTTCTAAATGAGATCCTTAACAACTCAGAGTTCATCTTGACTATCCACACAGGAAAAAGCAAGTGGATGAAAAATGCCTATTTGCAGACTATGATTTAGTTAGATGGAAAGTCTATGGAGCTGGTTCAGAAGTACAGGTACCTTGAGTAAACTTCACTCATTCAAAAGGAAAAAGAGAAAGGGATGACTTGCCATTTGGGAAACTGGCCATTACTTTGGATAATCCCAAGCTTCTCCCTGAAACAAAATCCCATCTTCTTAACCACAATATGCTCCCAGTGAAGGTCATGGCTGTGAATCAAGGGACACTACAACCTCTAAATGACAGGTCACCCAAAGGGCAATGGACAGTGTGAAAAGGCACACGTGAACACATCAGCAGTGACAATACAGATAGAGAAGACAAATCACGTAGCAAAAGCAGCATGGAAGACATCCGAGGGAACCGTGACCAGAGAAGGAAATCAGCTAGATGAAGGACAACTCCTGGACATGGGACGCAGCACCTGAACTAAAGGTAACCACCACCAAACTAGGGGAAGGCCCCTGCATTTGGGAGGAATGCTCTGTAGGGGATTCACAGGATGCTGACAAGAGTCAAAGAATTAGAGCAAAGAAGACCCAGGTTCAAATCCTGCCTCTGAGAAATACCAGCTTGGTGACCCTGGGCAAGTCATCAAACCTCTCCATGTCTGTTGAGTTGCAGGAAAACCACCATTTTTCTCAGGCAGTTCTTCTCCAGGAACTCCCCACACTGATGAAATCACATTACCACCCACCCCAAAGGAAAAGAGACACAAAGTGCCCCGTGTGGGGGCACATGCCTTCCATCCCTGCTATCAGCGAGGGTGGGGCTGGCAGATCACTGGAGCCTGGGGTTGTGGGGTCAGCTGATTCAGTGTCCTCACAATGGTGAGCCCCCAGGCTCAACAGACTGCATCGGTACTGGGACTGGACCCAGGAGTGGCCCCTGCCTTCTGGTGTGAGCATGTTGTTTTCCAGTCACTTCAGTCATATCTGACTCTTCCTGACCCATTTGGGGTTCTCGTGGCAAAGATGCTGGAATGGTTTGCCATTTCTCCAGTTCATTTTACAGATGAGGAAACTGAGGCAACCAGGGTGAAGTGACTTGCCCAGGGTCACACAGCTAGTTAGTGTCTGAGGCTGGATTTGAACTCAGGTCTGTCTGACTCCAGGCCTGTTGTTCTATCCACTGCGCCACCTAGCTGCCCTCAGTGTGAGTGTGGGATCTCCAAAAGAAAAGGGAGGAAAGCACGAGAACTGCGCCAAAGAATGGGCTGACTTGGGAGGTAATGAGCTCCCCATCCCTGGAGGTCTTTCAGCAGTGAGTAGATGACCATTTGTTGGCAATTCTTGTTCATGGATGTGTTGGACTAGATGCCTTCTGAGATCCCTTTGACCTTGATATTCTCAGATTCCACGAAGTGGTGATTTCTAAGAATTCCTCCTAAATCTAAATCTCATCATCCTAAAAGTACCCTGAAAAATCTGCAAACTAGATCCGCTCCAAATCTGGAATTCTCTGGGAGTTCTAACTCTGCCCTCTGTACCCCACTACTAAACCTGGGCCCCTTCTGAGCCTCCCTTCTCCTACGGCAACCATCAGGAATGCCCTAAACCACAGAAAAATTAAAGTCTGGAATCCCCGGCAAGCCTCGGATGCCACGTTCCTCCTTGGGTCTCAGCCAAACTTCTCTCTAATTATCACAGGAATTGATCTGGTCCTTAAGAACACCTGGCCACTTCATCAGAGCCTTCATTTAACAGAAAGAGAAACTGAGACCCAGAGAAGGGACTCACCCAGGGCCGCACAGTCAGTGGCGGGGTTGCCTGCTGCCTGTGCATTGTTTCTTGGCAATCAGCTACAGATTATAAGATCAGAATACACTGATCAGTTACTAGGAGAGAGGGGCCAGAGTGAACAGAGACAGAGACCACGGAGCAGAGCCATGGAAGCCAGCAAAGCCCAGGGAAGCCGGCATTATTTCATCCTCTCCAAACCATTTCCCCTCACCTTCCACCAGGAGGCCGGCTCTCTTAGCACAGATGTCCAAGAATTAAACTCAGAATCACAGAATGTGGGCGCTTGCGAGGGACCCAGCGGCCATCCAGACCCATTCAGGGGTCCTTGACCTTGCCTGTTATAGGCTGGTGATGCCGATGGACCCCTTACAAAGCTAACTTTTAAAATAAAGAAAATAATAAACTACATAGGATTACAAAGGAGGCCATTGAAAAACAGTCATTAAAATATAAAACAAACAAACAAGGTCACAGCCCCCAGATTAAGGACCCCTGATCTACTCAGAGCGGGGTCCCAATTAATGAGAAGAACGACCTGCAGTCGCGTTATTAGAATTCTCATCGCCTATCTCCATTGAGTTGGAACCAATTGCCATGTTTTCTATAATTCTAATTCTGGAAGCTGCAAATTCAAATACTTTGTCAGTTCCATACTGTGAACACAACTCAGATGGGCGAGGATGATGCCGCTAGCCAGCATTTACAGAGCGCTTTAAGGTTCACAAATATTATCTCTTTTGATCCTCACGACAACCCAGGGACGTAGGCGTCACTCGTGTCTCCATTAGACAGATGGGGAAACTGAGGCACGCCGAAGCCAAGTGACGTGCTTAGGGTCCCACAGCCAGTAAGTGTCTGAGGGACGGGGGGGGGGCCTAAGGTCCTCCAGTGACGGTACAAGATGGTGGTCTGGCCCCCCAGCTCCGGGGCCTGCACTTACCCAGGGCGCTGCTGTAGGCGGAGGAGTTGATCTTAATCCCATTGCAGAGAATCACCAGGTTGGCCGCCAGCTGAGTCCCCTTGTCCGTCTTCACCTGGATGCTGTCACGACACTCGTTGAGAGGCAGCTCCTCCAGGTTGCTAACTCGCTCACCTGGCGCCAGAGACAGAAAAGCTGTTAACAGGGCACCAAAAAGCTAGAGCTGGAAGGGAGCTGTCTTGTTTTCTCCTCCCCATTCTACAGATGAGGAAAACTGAGGCCCAGAGTGGTTAAAGGACTTGCCTAAGGTCACACAGATACTAAACATCACTACTGCGTAGGATTTGAACCTGAGTCCTCTGACTCCGGTCACTGCTCAAGCCACTGGACCATGATGCCTCAGCGGCCAAGTCAGCCAGTCAGCCAGTCAGCCCCTGACCAGCTTAGCTGGTATTTATCACAGAAGGCAGCTGCTTCAGGAAGGAAGAAAGGAGGGAGGGAGGAAGGGAAAGAAGGAAGGAAAGAAGGAAAGAAGGAAGCAAGAGAGAAGGAAGGAAGAAAGAAAGAGGAAATGAAGGAAAGAAGAAAGGAGGGAGGGAAGGAGGGAGAGAAAGAAGAAAGGAAAGAAAGAAGGAAGAGAAAAGGAAGGAAGGAAGAGGAAATGAAGGAAAGAAGGAAGAAGGGAGGCAGGAAGAAGAAAGAAGGAAGGGTGGAAGGAGAGGGAGGTAGGGAAAGAAGGAAGGAAGAAGGGGGAGAAAAGGAGGGAGGGAGGAAGAAAGGAAAGAAGGGAAGGAAGGGGAGAAAGAAGGAAGGAAGGAAGGGGTGAGGGAGGGAGGGAGGGAGGGAGGAGTCATGGACAAGTCAGAATGCACATAATCCCTAGCTCTGGCCCTGTGCTTCTTTAAAGGGGACACTGCTGCATCAACTCCAGGACAGGAGGAAAGGCCATGGGGAGATCTGGAGGTGGGGCCAGAAGGGCCCAGGCTGCTGCGTCCATCCCACAACCCTAGCTCCTCAGCTGAAGGACAGGTCAGAGGTCCCCGTGCCAACGTCTGATACCATTCCCAAGTCGCCATCACCATCAAGCGTCCCAAGTCGCCATCACCATCAAGTGATCATCTAGGTCCGTGCGGAGACCAGTGGTGATGAGCTCACCACTCACTCCATGAAGCTCGTTGGAGAGCGTTCACAGCCCCCTCGAGCTGAAATGCATCTTGTGCACCTTCCACCCATAGCTCCTAGTTCTGCTCTCCGGGGCCAAGCAGCCCAGAGCTCACCCTCCTCCTGCATAGCAGCCTGTGACAGACGCACGAAGACAGCTCATGCTGGGAAGAGAGGTCACAGCCTGACTCTGAGCTCATCTTCCAGGCTGACCAGCCCATGCCTTTTCCCCGCCACACACCATCCCATCTCCCACCTCCAAGCCTTTGCCCCGGCTATCCCCCAAGCATTCCCTTCTCCCTCCAACTCTGAGAATTCCTAGCTTCCTTCAGTGCTATGTTCAAGTGGCACCTCCAACAGGAAACCGATTCTTAACCTCCTTAACCGATTCTGTCCTCAGTGGCAAGGGGAAATTATTTCCCCACTACTTTGTATATATCATCTGCTCACCTTGACTCTCCTCCTCTACTGCAGTGTAAGCTCCTTGAGGGCAGGGACTACTTCATTTTTATATTTATACCCCAAGGGGCAGCTCGGTGGCTTGGTGGATAGAGCACCAGCCCTGGAGTCACCAGGACCTGAGTTCAAAATCCAGCCTCAGACACTTGATACTTACTAGCTGTGTGACTCTGGGCAAATCACTTAACCCTGATTGCCTCCAAAAAAAAAAAAAGTATGTGTATATGTATATATGTGTGTGTGTGTGTATATATATATGTATGTATGTATGTATATAGACACACACATACATTTACATTTCTGTGTATATGTATATTCTCACACACACACACACACACACACACACACACACATATATCTCTTTACATTTGTACTCCCAGCACAGGGCCTGGCATAATGTTTCACTGAACTGAATGGCTTCTTTTTTAAGCAAACAGCCCAGAAGCTGATCTGGAGCCCAGGCCCCCAGCCCCTCCTTAGCCTCATCCTCCCCATCAGCAATGGCAGCCTTACTCCCACCTGGCTCCCACCTTCCCACCTGGCTCCCACCTGACCCTGGTCCAGCCTCTCCTCTTTCCCTCCAGTCTCACGGAAGGGGGGTCGGTCTTCACTAATCCAGACCCCAGGAGCCTCATCTCAGTCCTCATCCTCCTTAAAATCAGGTATCTGCAACACAGGGAATTTCATGAGATATCTTTGCATGAAACCCTGGGGGTCTCCTTGCCCCCCTTCGGGGTCACCCTGTCTGGCCCTGCTGGCTCCGTCTTACCTGTGTCCAGCCACTAGGACTCTGTTCTTTTCCTAAGGTGAAAGAGCCTTCAACAAATCCCTTAACTTGAGCCACTAATAGACAGCTGGACTTGGAGCCAGGAAAACCCGAGTTCAAATCCAGACACTTACTAGCTATGGGACCTTGGACAAGTCACTTAACCCCTGCCTCAGTTTCCTCACCCATAAAATGAGGATAATAACAGCACCTACCCCCAGGGTCGTTGTGAGGATCAAATGGGATATCCTATGTCAAATGCTTACCAAATGCTGAAGTGATATATGATGATATATGATAATATATGAAATGATATGATATGATATGATATGATATGATATGATATGATATGATATGACATATGACAAATGGCAGGCTGTTTCCTAAGGCCTCTTCCAGCTAAATCTGACCGAAGGGCTGACTGCTCTCACAACAATCCCCCGGTGGCACGTTTCCAGTGCCCTTGCCTTCCTGGCTGCCGTCTGGGGGACGTGACCGCTCCCCAAAATGTGAACTGAGCAGCACCTGGGGGCGGGGGCATCTGACTGGCGCAGAGGACGGCAAGCCCATCCCCCCCAATTCAGGGCACTGCCTCTCTGAGCAAGGCCCAGGATGGCGCCAGCTCTTTAGGAGGCCAGGACACACACACACAGGGAGCTGAAACCCACGGGTCTTCTTCCAAGAACCCCAACCAGCATAGCCGGCGGGCTCCTCTCCACTGCCCCGAGGCTCCCCTCTTCCTGTAATCCCTTGCCCAAGATAACAACATGCCTGGGATGCCTGGCCGAGGGATGCAGTTGGTTGAAAGTTCCATAAAGTTCCTTTGTGAGCCCTGGCCTAAGATTTATGAGACGCTCTGGCAAAGGTGACCCAGCCAGGAATCTCCGGCCGGCAACCACACATACGAAGCGAGCTGTGCAATCTCAACAAGGCAAGGAGTGCCCCACAATCCCCTCCACGTAAATGGGGGACACCAGCAGGCAGACTGCTTGTCCTCTCTGGTTGGAATTACTCATAGGGCAAGAATAATAAAAATAACCGTAATAGCTAATATGAGTCATAATGATAATAGTAATAGCATCTACACAGCACAGTGTTTTGAAGACTACATCAAGGTAGGGGCAGCTAGGTGGTACAGTGAATAGAACTTTGGCCTTGGAGTCAGGAGAACCTGAGTTCAAATCCAGCCTCAGACACTCAACACTTACTAGCAGTGTGACCCTGGGCAAGTCACTTAACCCCAATTGTCTAAAAATAAAAAAAAATTTTTTAAATAATAAAAAAAAAAGGAATCCTGGACTCTCCAAGTTGGAAAGGATTCCAGATGCTTCCTCACCCAACCTTTCCTGGAGAAGGAAGCTGGTGGGAATAAAGCAAGGGTCTCCTGGGCACACGTGGGATTTTAGTACAGGGACAGGATTAAGATCTCAAGCCTCGGGGAGGTGGATGGGCCAGTGAGAAGCAGATGGACGAGGCCATCTGCTCTCATCCAGTGAATATGCCCTGCTGATCGACTGACAGGGTTAGAACCCATCTATTGATAGGCAGGACGCATTCACAAGGGCAGCTAGATGGCATAGTGGATAGAGCACTGGGCTTGGAGTCAGGAAGACCTGAGTTCCAATTGAGCCTCAGACCCGTACTAGCTGTGTGACCCTGGGCAAGTCACTTGACTTTGTTGGTTTAGTCTTCTCATCTGTAAAATGAGCTGGAGAAGGAAATGGCAATATCTCTGCCAAGAAAACCCCAAATGGGGTCATGAAGAGTTGGACATGACTGAAAAACGACTGAATAACAACAATATATTCACTGGATGAGAGTGGACGTTTAGAGCAGAGGGTCTTAACTTGGGGGTCCTGAACTTTTTTCAAAAAATTTTTTTGATAATTGCATTTCAATATAATAGATTTCCTTTATAATCCGATGTATTTAATTTTATGCATTTAATTAAAATATTATTCTGAGAAAGAGCCCACAGGTTTCACTCAACAGTCAAGGGGGAAGGGAGGTCCATGACAAAAAATGTTAAAAACTCCAGGTTTAGAGGAAAGCTAAAAAGTACTATATTCTTTCTATGAACAATATGATCTGGGGAAAAGCACACTGGCTTTAGAATCTGAGGACCTGGGTTCAAATTTCACCTCTGTTCCTACCTGTGCAACCTTGAAAAAGTCATTTCACTTCCTTGGACACCTCAGTTTCCTCATCTGTAAAAATGAGGAGGCTGGCCTGAATGGCACAGACGTCTCTTCCAGTTCCAAATCTACGGTCCTAGGAATCTTGAAACTGTCCAAAAGGCTATCACATTGCTAAGGAGTAACTCTCAATTGGCCAAAACCTCACTTCTGCAAGTATGGCAGGACACCAGGTTTCCAATACTGGGCTGGCCCCAGAGTCTGAGAGGGAGAGAGGAGGAGCTCACCGCCCAGATATAAGTGACATCATCGACGTGGAGTGAGAAGGCACCTCCATGACCTTTAGATGCAGTCCCTCATTTTATGAGGAAGAGTCTGGGGTCCAGGAAGTTTAAGGAATTTGTTCAAGGTCCCACAAGTTAGTGTCAGAAACCAAGATGTGAACCCAGAGAATCTCCCACCAAGGGGGAATTTCTAAGTCCAAAGTGGGGTGGGATTTATTAATGATAAAAATGCAGAAGAAAAAAAAAACACAAGACACCCATCACAGCCTACCTGGAGGCAGAGGCCAGGAGACAGATGTGTGCAGGATGAGTCTGACAATGTGGGAGACCCTGCTGTGAGTACTCACAAAGGGGAGACGAGCTTGGGCCTCCGTGGCTTCTAAAACATCCCCCATCCCCAACACAGGATTACCCAGCCTCTACTTGGCCCATTTTTGAAAATGGAAAGGGAGGATCAGTTGATGATTTTGACAAGCTGACTTGCCCACAAGTCAAGACTGCCCAGGCGACTCCAGGGATGGGAAACATCCTCACAGGCCTGGAAACAGGAAAACACCCCAGGGAACCGGGAAGAAAGGGGCAGAGGTTGGTGGGGGATGGGCTGGAGGTCCTCGGGCACAGGAGAATGGAGGCTACCTACTCAGCAGAAGTTCCACCCCTTTCTGGAGGAGAATCTCTTTCACTTCCTGCCGAACACAAGGAAGGAGCTCTGGGTCAGCCAGCGGGACTTTGGAATGAATGAGAGTGACCTGCAGACAAGAATCAACAAAGGGCCCTCAGTCAAGAGGCCCCCAGGCTGCCCCGGGGCACAGGGCGCCACCAGGTGCCACCTGCTCCAAGCCTCCTCCTGTACAGAGGAAGAAAGACCATCCCAATCAATATCAACGAATTGACATCTATTAAGCACCTACTGCGTGCCAGGCACTCTGCTAACACCTACACCCTCTACCCTAACGAGAGCAAAAGAAGAAAAGCACCCACACGGTCAAAATTATGTACGGTATTCTGTAATAACAAAGCTAAGGGCATGACCATTCATCGAGGAACGGGCTGAACCACAATGCCGCGGGATAATAACCCTGGGCCTTAGGAAATGCCATAAGGGGCCGTTTCAGAGAAACTGGCAAGATGCACGTGAACTGATGCAGAGGAAGGCGGGCAGAACCAGGAAGACCTCTATGGTAGCAGCGCCATCCCAGCAAGGACCAGAGGCCAATGATAAAGCAGCAGAGCGAGGAAGGCCTCCAGATGCAGAAGGAGAGGTGCATTGTACGACTCGGACAATGTGAGGATTTGTTACAAGGCTTTTGATTTCCTTTTTTTTTTTTTAAAGGGAAGGGATGTTAGGGATAGGGTCACCCCCCTAAAAAAAAAATGAGGAGGGACCAGAAGGCATCAGAGTCGAGCAGGCCAGCGCTGAGCCAGATTTCTCTCGACCCCAAACTTTGTTGTGCCCAGGCCAGCACACGGCCCCCGTCTCTGGCCAGGCCGGCATTCCCACGGCCCAGCCCCTGCCACAGCATCACAGACCTAGGAGGCCCCACCTTCCGCCAATGTTCTTCCCAACAGCACCTCCTCCCCATGCCCCACCCCAGCCCCAGTGCCCTCATGCCTTCCTTCTGGCAAACTCAAAATGCCCGGGAGAACATGCCTGCCTGCCCGCCTGCCCGCCCCAGGCCCAGGGACCACGGGTACCTCTTTCTCAGGATAATCAGTTTTAAGTTCCGCGGCCATCTCCACACCTGCTGAGCCTCCTCCCACCACCACAATATGCTGGGAGTTCTGGACCTGATCAGAAAAAGAAAGAAAGAAAAATTACACAGAGACTCATCCCCTGCAGCTATGAATAAAACATAACAATAATCATTAATACAATCTGCGTAATTAAGTTAATGATGTATTCAAAGCCCTTTACAATGGGGCTGCAGACTGGAGACTTAATCACTCCCATTCAGGTTCTCTACATTCCAGATAGCCCTTCTGACAGTTCCTCATCTCCCATCTCCACATCTTTGCTCTGGCTGTCCCACACGCCAGGAGTGCCTTCCCTCATCATCTACAGCTTCCTTCAAATACCAGGATTAGAACCCAGGGCTCATGAAGTCACACTCAGCTCTCTCGGGAGTTAATTACCAAAAGGAAGATGGTTCTTGGCACATCTTCAAAACGCTTTATTTTAGAAACAAGGACTGGCTATGGAAGGTAAGCTCTGGCTGACTGAAACAAACGTAAAGGAGAACTTGGAAAGGCTTCAGAAATCCCATCCACACAGCGTCCAATGGTGACCTCCAGGGCGACCAAACGTGCCTGCCAGCAGAGAGGTGGTGGACGACGGGGGCAGAATGAGGCATACATTTTCAGACACGGACAATGAGCTGATTTGTTCTGCTTGACTGTATAGATTTGTTCAGGGAGGCTTCCGCTAGGGCGCTGGGGAGTCTGTTTTAAAGTTTTTAACAAGAAAAAAAAATAAAACAGAGGAAGGGGGAAGGGGGGAGAAGATACACCATCCCCACCTCCACCGCCTGCAGCTCACAGACTCTCAGAACGTCAGAGGCGTAAGGGACCTCAAAGACCATCTAATCTAATCTAAGCAGAGTGTACTTAAGAATTCCCTCTAAATCATCTCCAACAGATGGAGAGTAAGAAGAACAAGAAGGGGGTGTGGGGCGGACTGAAGGGGATACTCAATATACATATACAAGGAGCAGCACAAGGTCAGGGAGGTGACCAGACGAGGCGAGCCTCAAATGCCAGGGCCAGTCACTGGAAGGCCGCCAGGGAGGGCAGACCCACCCTTCCCTCCTATGGCTCTGAGTGTTAGCGAGTTTTTTGCTTAGACTGAGCCAGAGTAGGCCTCATTGCAATCTCCAGCTGCCTAGTTTTGGCCAAGCAGAATGTCTGCTCCCTCTTCCCAATGCCAGGCCCTTGGATACTTGAAGATGGGAATCCTAACCCTCTTCTTCCCTCTAGGCCAAACATCCCAGCTCCTCCCAGGCTCCCCTCCAGCATTGTTCCCAGCCAGGCCCCTCATTCCCACCTTCAGCAGGGCCCAGGGACCCACCCATCTCACCTGCTTCACCATCACTTCGTAGGCCTCGATGGCCGACTGCAGGTTTGAAATCTGGTTAAACTTCCCCGGGAAGGGCCCAGTGCTGCCCGTAGCCAGGATGAGATGAGAGTAGGAAAGGGCCTGCAAGAGGGATGGAAGAAAAAGACAGAATCCACTTAGAATGATGAGGGGGACAGTAGAGGAGTAAGCGTTACACAGCACCTACTATGTGCTGAGCACATTAATGAATTATTTCATTTGATCCTCATACCTACCCTAGGTCCTATCCCCTTTTTACAGCTGAGGAAACTGAGGCAAATAGAGGCTAAGTGACCTGCCAGCTAGTAAGTGTCAGAGGCCAGATTTGAACTCAGGTCTTAGAACGTGAATTTCTTCCCACCCTTATATCTGGGAAGGGTCCTGCCACTCACTTTAGGTAAGTCTCTGTCACTCCCAGGGAAGAGAAGCCAAGGGGTGAGGGATATAGCAAGTGGAGTGGGGAAAGAGCTTCAGAAAAGGTTAGGATGCATTAATGGATTGGATTCAAATTCATTCTCATTGGACTGGAAGCTCCATGAAGGCAAGATCCCATCTCACACTTCTACATCCTCCTCAGAATGCCAGAAACTCACCCTCATTCAGGAAATGCTCCATTAACAACAGCTTAAGAGGAACTAGCCTATCCAGACCAGGGTAACCTGGATGGCTAAAAAGGTAGGAAACCCCACCTGCCACGGGAGGATCAGGGGGGATATCCAACCTTCATCTGCCCTTTGGGACCACGGGAGGATAAGTGGAGATGTCCAGCCCAAGTCTGCCCTTTGGGGCCAAGCTTCCACAGATCAGACCTCTCGTGTCCCCCCAGGCCACACCTACCTCACCCCCCTGGAGCAGGACATTCTGCTTTTCCAGGTCCAGGCCCACCACCAAGTCTTGCCGGAAACTGTCCCCAAAGGTCTTTGCAAATGAAATGAACGTCTTCTTGGCGAATCCTGGGGTACAAACATTTGGTGAGGCAGGGGCACTAGGGCTGTCCCCAAAGGACCCAGAATAGGACTGAAGAGAAGGTGAGCCAAGCCCACCCTGGAGTGAGCCTTAACCAAAGCCTCTTCCAGCCTCCGGTCCCAGAGGGTAGACAAAGGGCTTTCCTCCCAACAGCCTGTGAGCTAAAGAAGGAAACCATCATTACCTCCATCTCACAGATGAGGAAACAGAAAGGCTGTGACTGACCCAGGGTCACACAGCTAGGGAGTGTCCCATGCCCTTTGCACAACATGGAAAACATCCTCTTTCCTTGAGTATGGGCATTTTTTAAAGCACTTAAGCCAGGACAGCTCTGGACAAAATACTGCAGGAGGCAAAATCGGGGACTTTTATTTCCTTTGTCCCTTCCCCCTCTGCCCTGCCCCTTTACCCCTCCTCCCCCTCACTCTCCCTTACAATTGCCCTTACAATCCAAAAGCTTCAGACAGACTCAAAAAAAGTAGAGGGAGCCCTAAGCCCGAAATAGGAGGTCTGGGTTCTAGCTGCAACTCAGCCACCATCTAGATACATGCCTCCCCCCAAAAAAGAAGAAATTACCACTCTGGACAGAGGCCCGGAGGGCTGCCACGTTGTGATGGAAAGAGTCTCTCATGTCCACCAGCGTGAAGGGGACACCCCAGGACTGGAGCTGGCTGGCAGCCGCAATCCCACCGAAGCCGCCTCCAACAACGACCACATGCACGGAAGCATCCACGGAGATCTGAGATCCCATCCTGGCCTGGACACCTCCAAAGGCAGAAGATTCAGAGATGAGCCAATCAAGCTGGTCCGCACGTCAGGCTCCAGTCAACTGGGCCCCACAGGATGAGATGGGGCTGGGGAGGGGGCAGTGCTGCCTAACCGAACAAGTTGGAAAGGCAAAACCCCAACTTCAGGGTGCTGACAACCAGGCGGAGAGGTGGTGGACTACAGGTGTGGAATATAGTATACACCGATAGACTGCCAGCGTGTTGATGTGTTTTACTTAATTCTATTTCTTTGTTACAAGGGAGGTTCCTCTTGGTGGGGGAGAGGAAATAAGAGGAGTGATTAGGAAATGACAGCTATATTAAAAAGCTATCAATTATATTTTATTATTATTTATTATTATTATTAAATATTTATTTTTTAAGTATAATTTCAAAAAAGGAAATGAAAGTCAAACTTAATTGAGTGTGCTTTGTGCACGGGGCATTACCAAGCTTTCTGAGTCCTCAGCAGGGGAAGGCCCAATGGCCACAAAGCCACAAGGGTGGAGTTGGCCTCCTGGTTTGGTCAGTGACTCCCTATGCGACCCTGGACAAGCCAGGTCCTAGAAGGGTCCGCTTCCTCGACTGCCCCATCTGTAGAGAAGAAAAGTCAGCTCCTCAATGGCAGGGACTGTTTCATTTTTGTTTCTGCATTCCCAGCTCTAACACAGAGCCTTGCATTTTTCTCGGTCTGGACCTGAAATTTTGCTAGTCTTGGGGCCTCTCAGTGTGAAAAATCCACCTGCCAAGGCTCAACCGACGCTTCTCCAGTTGAATGCAAACATCTGACTTCCCTTTCCTGCGTTAGGAGGGATAGTACAGCCAATGTCCTGAACCCTACGCCTCAATTCTCACTGACCAGGACTACAAAGGTAGAAGGTTCTACTTACTAACAGATGAAGAAACTGAGGCCTGTAGAGGCCAGGACCTACAGTCACAGGCCACGATGACCGACTGAGATGAGAAGTTTTTGTTTCTTGGAAAACTCATAAGGTTTGGGGCAAAATCTATGGAGACCCAGTATAAGACGGCAAAGGGTCACAAAAAGAATTGGGAAATTACTGCACAGAAAACTGGGAGTGGCAGAGATGCCTGAGAAAAGGCATCTCATTCTACCAACCTGAAAACCAGCAATGGGTAGAGTCCAAAACAAGGTCTACAAACAGTCGCTTGGTTATTCAATCAATCAACAAGCATTTATTAAGTGCCTACTGTATGTGCGTGCCAGGCACTGTGCTAAGCCCTGGAGTATAAAGAAAGACAAAAAGTTCTTGCCCTCGGGGAGCTCATATATAACATAACATAAATCTAATATAACACAGGTAAAGTGTGTATAATTGGGGCCACACTCCCCCCACCCCCACCTTTTTTTCTCCGTGTTTCCCTCTAAAACGTTACAGGCAGTTAATGGTTCAAATCTCAGCTCCTCCAGGAAATTGTGGAGTCAGAGGGAAGCCCACAAGCCGGAGTCTAGCTGGGCAGACTTAAACAAGTCCTCCTTTCTCTGGCTCTCAGCTCCCCTGCTCCATCAAAGGCACGGGGGCTGGATTAGACAGAGCACACCACAATCCTGCCTCAGTTATGGCCTGAAAACGGCTTTTGCTCCTATTTCTACACCCAGTGTTTCAACAGATACATTTTCTCATGCCATACGGAATGGATTTCCCCATCCCTCCGTTGCCAGGCTGAGCCCAACTACAGGGCAAAAGCTAGCAGCCCCTGGGGGAGACAGGAATCATCTTCCTGAAACGGGCCCTCAATGGACTGCCATTTTCCAAGTTTTTACTGATGTCTTGAGATTTTTTAATAGCATCATTTTACTCCACCCATGATGAGTCCAGCCAAGTAAAGAAAAACCTACCGACAGAGCACATTAAAGTGAGTACATTCTAGAGGCCTCAGTTTCCTCATCTGTAGAATGTGGAGATTAGATAAGACTGCCTCCAAGTACCTCCCGGCTCTGAATCTGTGATCGATCATGGCACGGAACGCTGTCACCACAGTTTGCTCGGACATTCCCAGGTAAAGGGGCACCTGTGGTTCCCGCCCTTCGCCTCTTAGGAATGTTTGGAGATGGCCCTTTCCTTCTGCCTCTGCCTTCCTTTTGGGGGTGTGCCCAGCAGCGGGATCACGGGCCAAAGGGAAAAGCACATTGCCCACGGGTCATTTCCTCCCGGTGACTCCAGGTGCTCCCAGGCTGGCACAGACACACCTCTGGATCCTCACCCCAACTCATCTATGCCCTTGCTGACGGGAAGTAGGGATGGTTTTGATCTTTGTACATCCATCCCCCAAAGTCTAGCACAGCACCTGGCACACACTTGGTGCTTAATAAATGCCTCTTAATTGTCTTTGTACCACCAACACCTAGCACTGCTCCTGAAACACAGGAGGCAATTAATAAATGCTGGCTGATCCCTCCAATCCAGCCTCTCTTCCCTCCGCCAACGAATCAGAGCTTCATTGCCAATCAAACAGCTAAAGGTTAATTAAGCATTCACCATGTGCCTGGTACAGTGCAAAGACAGAAAAAAAAAAAACAAAGACAGAAACAAAACAGCCCTGACCTCAAAGAATTTACCTCCTAATGGGAGGGGGCCAGGTGAGTGAACAGAGATTAACCGGATTAAAGACAGCATTCTATGGCAGATCAATGGGCTTAAAATCAACCACAGCACTGACCAGCTGTGTGACTGTGTATGAGTCACTTTCTCTCAGTTGCCCCCTCTGTAAAATAAGAGAATCAGAAGAACAGACCTTCCTACCCCCTCCCTTTTTTTCCATGGACCTCTTCTGGCAGTTTTGTGAACACTGTGGCTCCCTCCCTTTAAAAGCATAAAATAAAACCCAGAGGATTACAAAGAAAACCAATTATATCCAAATACAATTATCAAATTTTTTTTAAACAAATTCACAGACCCCTTTGAAATCTATGATCAAGAAGTCCTGGACCCTCAGATCTATGTCTAGGGTTCCCTTGTAGCCCTAACCTTCTATGTTCTAAGGTCCCTCCCAGATCCAACACCCTGGCCTCTGGGCTCAAAGTATCTTCTATGTACCTTCTACAGTCCCTCCCAGCTTTAATGTTCTGTGACTGTTCTGTGACATCACAGTCACTGCCAGTCCCCGGGGCATCGAGCCTGGGCCTTGGGATCCAAGAAAAGGCAGCCTAAGGAGGTGTTCAAGCCAAGGCTGGGAAAACCACCAGGGAGGAATATTCTAGGAAAGAATCCTGTCTAGGGACTGGCCTGGAGGCTGTCTGGGAGGTTTCCTCCCAGTCTGCAATTCCAGGAATCGTGGACTTTGGCTGCACCACCATAAGGCACCAAAGTGTCATCTGTGCTCCACAGGGAAAAAGAGAGAACTTCTGGATAGTTCTAATCAGAGGCAGCCTTCCCTTCGGTCAAGATGCTCATGATGGACAGCCCTGGAAACTGTTTATTCTTGGATTTCACGGCTACTTTCCCGGGAAGCATACTGAGTCACTGAAAGTGTTACAGAATTCTTTTTCTAACAGTTGGCTTTCTTAATCAACTCAGCACATAGTAGAAATTTCATAAATGCTGAATTGAATTATTTTCACTGTTTCCCTTCTATAAAAGAAGTGGAAGATGCATTTCTGATCTCTCAAAAGAGACATCCTGGGGGTAGCTAGATGGCCCAGTGGATAGAGCCACAGGTCCTGGATTCAGGAAGACCCTGAGTTCAAATTCGGCCTCAGACACTTGACCCTTACTAGCTGTGTGACCCTGGGCAAGTCACTTAACCCCGACTGCATCGCCAAAAACAGCAAAATCAATCAATTAGATTACTATGCGCCAGGTACTGACATCAGTTAGAGCGCAGTAATCCAGGTGAGAGGTGATGAGGGGCTGAACCAGAGTGGTGACCAAGGGAACTGAGGCAAGGGGATGAGTTTGAGGAATGTGAGGGAAGTTGATTAGATGCCCAAAGGGTACTTTTGTAACAACTCCTACTCAAGTTGCTCCATAGCTGGCCCAACAGGCCAACCTGCTGTTCCCTGGACAGGATGTTGCATCTCCCACTTCGGCACCTTTGCCCAGGCTGTTTCCCCTGCCTTGAATGCTCTCCTTCTTCCTTTCAGATTTAGTGCCTCAAGCTGAGTCCTGCAGGGATGGAAGGACTGCAGCAGGTGGGACTGGAGGTAGGGAGGCCCGGGGCGGGGGGGCGCAGGATGAGAAGGTGGGTCTGTGAGGGGTCCAGTTTGACGGGCACACACAGTTCATTAAGGGAATTAACGAATGTGAGGTCTCTTTAGCTCCTCCCCGGGAAGCCTTTCCTAATCTTCCCCAAGCGGCTAGGGCTCACACCTTCCTCAAGGGTTGAGGCACTTCCTTATCTGGGAACCCCACACTAATCCACCAGGAAGCGCCTTTGCGGAAGGGAAGGTGGTTGCATTCTGTTTATCAGCAGCATATGGAGCCACTAGCTCCGGAATGTTTGATGGACTTCCGAGTGAAAGGCGGTCGGGACACCAATTCAATCCACTATACTGCCTGTGGGCTGCAAGCACGGGATTGGGGGGGGGGGGTGCGGGGGCATAACAGTGAGAGCCAAGAAGCCCAGGGTTCAAGACCTGCACCTGCTTCTGACCCGCACTGGCCGCAGGACCCACTTCGCTCTCAGGGCCCTAGGCAACTCTTGCGGAAATATACAACGGAGAAGGGTCCTCCCTGCGCCAGCGGAGAGAGTTTCCTCGCCCGAGAGCTACAGAAAGGAATCACACAACGAAAACTCCCCGGGAAGGTAACTCCCCCTCCTAAGGGAGGTCAGCCCTGCCTCTACAACCAGTTTAAGCCGCCTGCCCAGGTTTCGCAGGGAGGGGTAGGAAATCGAACCCGGGGCCTGTGACCACGTTTCCTTTAGTCGCTCTAAGCAGCCTCTTCCGGAGCCGGGAGACGGGGGAAGGTGGGGAGGGGATAAAGGGCCATGGAGCGTCCCCCTCACCCCACGTCCCCTCAGTCTCCGCCCCCCCAGGGTCTCACCTGGAGCTCCCGGGCTCGTGCTCCCGCAGCAGCCGCAGCTCCCGGATCCCCTTATTCCTCTGCGCCCGGCGTGACTCAGCTCGACCCGGGAGGGGAGGGGGGAGAGGGAGGAGGGAGAAGGAGGAGGGGCCAGCACCCCAGAGGCCGAGGAGCCCTGTCCATTGCACGCAGCTCAGCGGCAGTCCCCGAGGCGCCTCACCCTCTAGGCAACCACGGAGCTGGGCCAGACGAGTGAGGCAGGCAGCAGACATGTGTCCATCACGCACGGGGTGGGGGGTAAGGGCTGGGGATACTGTGAGTGAGTGAATGCATGAATGAATGAATGAATGAATGAACATACAAACGCTCAGTCTAACGCACGGGTCGAGGTACAAACAGCTAACTGTGGACGACATCTCTGGCTAAACCCTAGGAGCTGGCAGAATCGAAGAGTCTTCTTATAAAAGTTTTTTCAAAGAATTGATCCCCTTCTATCCCCACAAGTGAGGCAGGGGATTAGGCTTCCAGGATTCTGTGGGGATGAGCCACGTGTTGGGGATGCTGGCGTGGAGCCTTTCTAAATAGGGCCCAGTCTCTGCAGCCTGGCACTCGATGCCTTTCAGAATCTGGCTCCAGCCGTCTTCTCCAGCCTTGCCTTGCAATACTGCCCTTCCTGGGCCGTGGGGGGCAGACACATTGGACTCCCCGCCTGCATTTGGAGTCAAAGGGACTACCCAACCTGTATGGACGAGCTTAGGCAGGCCACTGCAGCCCCTGAGCTTCCGGGACTCTGTTTCCTCTCCTACAAAAGGAGGACGCTGGACCCCATGGTCTGCAAGGTCCCCTCCAGCTCTGAGGTTCTGCCTTTCAATCCCGATTCCTGCTCAGGTAAGGGCAAAGGACTCATGAAGCCACCCTCGAATCCGGGTAAGCAAATTTACCTAATTTCCCTAATCAGGGGGCAAAGGTGTGGTCTATTGTTATCAGTTGTGAAAGTCAGCTCGTTCCCTTTGAAGGCCCTGATGGAGGTTGCCCTCTGTTCACACATCGATGACTCTTACAGTGGTAGATTAGGCACACAGCCAAAGGTTAGTCGTCATCTTCGTCCTTCGTTTGTGTTAAAGTTCAAGACACTCATCACGCCATTGGCATCTTGCCTTCCTTTGGGTAAATATTAATCTCTAGATGCTCCCACAATCCTATGGCCTCTGGCCCCTCTCTCCTCTACCTGTACTTTAAATAGTCTAATTACTTCTTCTGTCTTTATTCTCCTTAGTGCCATGTTTTACTCCCTAGGGACTGTGATTTTTAGGGTCCAAATTTGGTGGTTCCCCAGGTGGTGCAGTGGATAGCCCTGGGGCCTGGAGTCAGGAAGATTCATATTCCCGAGTTCAAATCTGGCCTCAGACAGAGCCGTGTGACCCTGGGCAAGTCACTTAACTCTGTTTCCACATCTGTCAAGTGAACCGGAGGAGACAATGGCAAACCACTCCAGTATTTTTGCCAAGAAAACCCCAAATGGGGTCTCAAAGAGTCAGACATGACTGGAAAACGACTGAACAGTAACAAAATGGTGGTTCTGCTGCCCTTGATGAACCCTTTCTATGAACATTCTCCCTACGTTCATCCTTACGGGCCTTCGGGATGACTTTGCTTTAGTTGGCTATCTTGCTAAGCTTTCTTTGTTTTCACCCTTGACTGCCTCTCTCTGTTCTTTGGAACAACAGTCTTCCTAACTGTTCATCATTCTCCTTAAGAGGTCAGACACATTTAACTCCTGACTCAGGCAAGAGTCAGATGTTTGCTGAATAAGGCTCCGACCGCACTCTTTGCGTTCGCTTGCAGTTGCCACTCATTTACATCAGTGAAACTTCTGCATCAGCCGCGTCATCGGGGCCGTCATTTCTGCTGTCCACAATTCACAACTGAGAGATGTGTGCAGAGAACATGAGAACCTGCTGTTCTGTTGATATGAAAAAGCACTAGACTCAATAAAAACAAGGCTTTTTTTTTTTCTAACAAGGTGTCTCCCATTCATGAATTAAAATAATTCCAGATTACTTGGAAAATATAATTGAAATAATCGTATTCAAAGACAGTGATCAGAGGCAGCCTGGGCCTAGCCTTAGGAAGACCTGAGTTCCAATCTAGCCTCAGACACTTCTAGCTGTGTGACCCTGGGCAAGTCACTTAACCAGTCTACCTCAGTTTCCCCATCTATAAAATGGAGATAATAGCACCTACCTTCGAGGGTTGTTGTGAGGGTCAAATGAGGTATTTGTAAAGTGCTTAGCAAGCCTTAAAATATTACTTGTTCTCCCTCCTTAACTGCTTCCTTGCTTAATTCAAGTCCCAGCTAAAATTCCACCTTCTATAAAACTTTTCCCAATCCCCCCCTAATCCTGGTGCCTTCTCTCAGTGTAGAACGTTTGTACATCACTGTTTGCATACAGTATCCCCCATCAGGTTGTGAGTTCCTCAAGGGCAGGGACTTTTACCTTCTTTTTGTATTCCCAGAGCTTAGCACACTGCCTGGCACATAGCAGTTGCTTAATAAATGCTGTTTACCAGACTCTTGACCCTTTCTCCAGATCCTCCACAGAGCAGTCACCCAATACACAGGAAGGCTTCCTCCTGTCATAATATATGTATACCAGGGCACCCATCATGCTGTCACTCCTGATGCTTGGCCGACCAACACCCATTTCCAGTTGTGCTGCTCCAGCATATCCATCCGGGCCCTGTTACAGTCTACCACCATGCACTATGTGTTATTCTCTTGCCCTTTGGGTCATGCACAATTTTGATTCTTCGGTATCAGCGTTTCATGATTCACCATCAAATAATAAAAGGATAATACTGGCGTTTGTAAGATGGGCTTCCCCTCTCTGAGGCTGTACCCATCAGACTGGCCAAGACAGGGGGCAGGGGGAAGCACACTGATGCATTGTGATGGGCTGTGAATTGGCCCATACGATCTTCGAAGCAATGTGGAGCTGAGTTACATGGTGCATCCCTTAGCCCAGATGTACTTCTACTAAGTCAGCGAGGGGGCACACAGTGGGCAGAGCACCGCCCTGGCCTCAGGAAGATTTAAGTTCAAATCCTGCCTGAGACATGGGCTAGCCATGCGTCCCTGGACAAGTCCCTTCATGACTCTCAAGACCGTTTCCCCTTCTGTAAAATGGGGACGGTATAGCAGCACCTACCTCCCAGAGCTGTTGAATGAGATATTTATAAAAAGTGCTCAAAGCTTTAAAGTGTTACATAAACTCGAGCTATTATTACCAAGTCAACACCCTAGACTTTAAAGAGGAAAAAGACCCCTAGGTACAAAAAATCTTTACAGCATCTTTGTGGTGGCAAAGAACTGGAAACTAAGAAGCCCATCAACTGGGGAATGGTCTCTGGATGAGATGGAATGGTACTGCTCCATTAAGAAGTGGCCAAAGGGGTTAGTCTGGATGACTGATGCATCATGAAGGGAGTGGAAGCAGGGGAGTGATTCGTACAAGAGCCACAGGGTGAGAAAGTACAAGGATGCCGGAGCTCCGCGGATCCACAGCGCGTGGGACTCTGCAGACTGGTCACTCAAGGGCTTGATTTTTCCCATTGGCCACTGGTGGTGCAGGGCGGTGGTGGGGAAATAAATCTCTGGGATGGAAATGTACGTTAATGAAGGATGTGTTTTAAAACTGCACTTCTGAGTCCGAGAGTGGCTCAGGATCATTCAGCATGCTGCACGCCGCCCTAAGCGTCACCTGGCTGCCCTTCTGCTCAGCCCAGCTCCGTCCATTGGCCAGGTCTGCACAAGGCACGCAGGGTAGAGGCTGTCCCACCAAAAGCACAGCATCACCCTTTATCCAGACTGGGGAACAACGAGCAACAGGGAGATGATGTGAGCTCCCAGAGGACGAGAACCGGCTTGGCTTCCTTGTACTCGTCCCAACACTTAGCAGGCTCCGAGGCACGTGCTATGTACTCAACCCCTCCATCGATGGATGGATCTGAGACACGTGTAGGATGGAAAGACGATGCGGGCTGCAGCTCCCTGCCTGTGGGATCTGGGGAGTCACTGGCACCCCCACCTCTAAAAGGCATAGTAGGGTGAGAGCAGACCACCTCCACGGTGGCTCCTTCCAGCTGTCTAGGACCCCATGACTGGTAGGTCTTCGGGTATACTCCTCATCTCCGAGCTTTGCTTTTCTCACCTGTCAAACGGGGGTAATTTCTGCACTCCCTGATAATGGGGATTGTTTTAAAGGAAGGAATTTTTTTAAATCTCTGCTATTACAACAGGAAAGTACTAGCAGAGTCTGGCAAAGAAAAGCCTCAGGGAGGACCCTGAGTGCCTCCCAGTCTCAGAAGGGCCGTCCCAAGGAAGGAGCAGCTTGTTCTACTGGGCCCCAGACAGAACCAGGAGCACTGGGTGGAGGAGGTAGAGGGAGGCTGGAAGACCACTCCCCAGAGATGCTAGTGCAGGGACTGAGAACAGGTCCTTCCAATTTTGGGACCACCTGCCTGTGCTGAAGCCGGCCCTGCAGCTCCCAGCTGGCCAGGGCTGGAAGTACCGATAATCCACACCCACCTGCCCACTTGTCTCTAAGGTCATTCAGTTCATAAGAGAAGGCTGGATAGAGGAGGCTGGTTAGAGCACTGAATTTCGGGGTCAAAGACCTGGGTTTGAGTCTCAGCTGTGCTACCTACTACCTGTGTCTGTGTGACACCAGGCAAGTAACTCACTATCTCTCTGGGCTTGTTTCCACAACTGTAGAATGGAGAGATCTGCACCCCCCTACCTCCCAGATTACTGTACTGTACTTAAGTTGCCTGGGCCTCAGTTCCCTTGCCTGTAAAATGGGTATACACCCGACCTCACCATGTGGTTGTGAAGAAAGCACTTTACAAACAGGGGCCATTTTTATTATTTTCCTCCTGACTGAGCTGCCCCACTACTGCTACTACAAAGGGACACCTTCGTGCCCCCTGGGAATTCACCATTCAGGTTCAGGCTGGATGACCACTTGTCAGGAATGTTGTAAAGGGGTCAAAAAGACGTGCCCGGAGGCAAACCGAACTGCAGGGAGCACCCAGCACCTGAGAGGCAGGAGAAGACAGGTGGCTGATAACTTCCAAGATAATCTGTGCCTGGGAGACAGTGTCCATTCATTCCACCAGGCTTCCGCCCTGGCATCACTGAGCCACCATCATTAACGTCCTGACAGGCAGTGCCCTCTGGAGGGGTCAGAGCTTGCTCCGGAGGGGCACGGCCGGAACCCTCTGCAGCCGCCACACCACCCTGACCTGCTCGCCAGGTCGGTCCAGCTCCCTGAGGCGGCGCAGGTCCCCAGTCCGCCTGTACTGATCCAGGGCTGGCTCCAGCACAGTGATGGGGACGCTGAAGTTCAGGTGAGGATACGTGGCCCCTGTGCTATTGTCCCTAGTGTTGCTGGTGACAATCCCTGCAGGGGAGAAGCAGGATAAGGAGACAACTGGTGATCAGAGCCCAACTGATGCCAGAACAGCAGCACTCAGCTCTTGGGGTCAACCTGTGGTGACCATCCAGGGGTGAGCTACCCCAGCCCTTCATGTCCCCTCCCCGACAGTCTGCCCCCTCGTTCAAGTGCTTGGTCATCCTTTTGGGGTGTGTACACTATCTCCTTCAAAGAGTCTGACAGTTCCCAAGGGCAGGGACCACCTGGCCTTTATCCCTATTTCCCTCTTCTCCCTCTGGTGCCTAGAACAGGGCTGGGCACACAGAAGGCACTGACTCAAGTTTCCTGAGCCTAACTTGGGGACAGAAGGAGAGGGAAGGAATTCAGGGAGCTCATTACCAAGCAGTTCCCCAGAGCCAGAGAAGAGAGGCCCCCCGCTGGACCCCCCATGCACGGCACACGTCGTCTGCAGCATCGCGGGTGCATTATTCACCTCCACCACAGCAGACAGGATCCCCGAGGTCACCGAGGGCCCGCAGGCCTGGCCAAAGGCCCCAAAACCAACCACTTGCACATCCTCGCCTGGAAAAGGAAGGGCAGGCCAGGATCAGGTGGGGAGCAGGTGGGCAGTCAGCTCCCAGCAAGGACAAGGGGGCTTCACTGCCCCTGGCCTCACATTCTGCCACTAGAACACAGCTGCCCCCAAGCGCCCAGGGAAAGAGTAGGGAGCGTGGACTCAAAAGCACCTGGTTCTGCTACTTACTACCTCTGTGACCTTGGACAAGTCCCTTCCCCTCCAGAAGCTCAGCTTCCTCAGGAGTGACTGCTAACTAATATCATTACAGTCATTAACATGTAAGCAGCGTCCACAGTGAAGAGAGGACTGCCCGCAGAGTCTGGATGAACTGGGTTCAAATCCTGCCTCTTAAACATCCTGGCCATATGACCCTGGGTTTCTTTAGGTTCCACAACCAGCTCAGATCATGCATGTCAGAAAATCCGCTAATCTACACTGGTAGAGAGAATTCCTCCCTGGGGAGCTGGGGGCTCCATACGCCAAGGAAATCACTGATCCTGTCCAAAAAATCTATCTATGAACATAGTGGGAAACACTCTGTATCAATCAGTCAATGAGCATTTATTAAGCACCTACTGTGTGCCAAGCACGGTGGATACCCACACAAAGGATGACCAATTCTGCCTCACAAAGAGCTTACATTCTAACAAATGTAACCTTACAGCATCACAGAAATGAGTGCTTCATACTTCAGAATGAAAAGATGACCAGATTTAGGACTAGGAAGAATCTTGGCCATCTTCCAGGCTGGCACCCTCATTTTACAGGGGGACCCAAGAATGTAAGTGCTCAGCCCTGCCAGATGCCAGCTGGGCAGAAGGGCAGGTCCCCGGCAGATGCCTGGTGGAGGGCTGCTGGGCCCACCCGCCTCTGCCACCCACCCCTATCTTGGCTCGTTATGCAGACTCACAGTCCCCATCCTCCCAGCTTACCTTCATGGAAGTGGCTGGCCAGGACAGGAAATGGGACACCGCTGAGGTTTTCCTCCAGCTTCACCACCGCCACATCATATGGAGATGTGTCCTGGGTAGCAAACACCACTTTCCCCCAGACTGGAGAACTCCTGGGGGTAAACAAGGGGCAGAGGCAGATTTTAGGACGAGGACCCAAGGATTACAGCCTTTGGACCAACTCAGGCCTCCGAGCCCAAGGTAATGCTGGGCAAAAAGGAACCTCCCTGGAGCTAGTTTGCCTTCTTTCTGACTCTTAGGACCCAGAGCTGGGAGAGACCTTGGAGGCCATGGTCCCATTTTAGGGACATATTTGACTTGCCCACAGCCAGTCAGGGCCAGAACTGGGAAGCAAACCCTTGTCCCGACCTCCAAAGCCAGCGGCCTTCCTCCACGGCCCGGCATCAATCACCCCGGTCCTACTAAGAGCCATCACATATAGGAGGACTGGGAAAGAATAGGGACCACATGCTCCTCCCAGGTTATAATAATGCTCTCCCACCTTACTGGAGAACCAGTTCGGTGCAGTGAGGAACCAGACGGCAGAGGGTCAGAGATTCACAAAAAAAGAAAAACCTGAAAAGTCAGGAGACCTGACTTGAGGCCTGGCTCCTGACCACTTCTCTGCAGCCTCTGTTTCCCTTTTCTGTCAAACAAGGGGAATGGACTCTAGGATGACCTCTCAGGTGCCATTCAACTCCAGCCATCTACAAACCTTTACTATATAATGGAAGTTCCCTCCTCACTCCTACTAAAGTCCAAACATGTGGACCCAAGAAAAGTGATTTGTAAAAGCACAGTTAATTAGGAACACAGGACTATAGAGTTAGGAGGGATCTCAAGTCATCAGCTCCAACCCCCTCATTTTACAGAGGGGGAAACTGAGGCTTAGAAAGTTGAAATGACTTGTCCAAGGTCCCACAGCTGGTGTGGCAAAGGCCACACTAAAGCCCAAGTCCTGTCCCCACCAGGTCCAGGCCCATTGGGACAAGTCCATTGGCCAAGCAGAGCCTCCACTGGGGCCACCCTGGTCTCCTCTGTTCTTTAAGCAGGTGCCTGAGGCCACAGAGGAAAAAGCAGGCTGTGAATCAGATTAGGAAGCAAATGATGCTCTAATGAGTGGTGGGTGGAGGCAGGTGAAGAAAACAGTTGTCCAAGACAGGGAGACAAAGGATGACTTACAGACCCAGACAAGTGAATCAGCTCCACCCCAAAATCCCCACCACCTCCACTAAGCTCATTATAAGGCAGCCATAGCACAAAGGAACAAACAAGCACTAGATGTGGCCACAGAGGCCCCAGGATGGAATCCCAGCTGTGTGACCTTGGCTCAGTCATTGTGCCTCTTTAGGACTCCATTTCCTCCTTTGTGAGACAAAGAGAATATTTATGCCCCCAACTTGATGGGATGTTGTGAAGAAAGCCCAGCCAATTCAAAGACCTCCCAGCTCAGGGTGAGGAAAACAACAAAAGTCTCTTGCACTCCTAAGGCTGCAGGAACCCCAAAGGCCTCTTCTAGAATTTCCCAGTCACCGGCCAAGCACAGGAAGGCATGTGAAGAGGAACTGGCTGAAGATGAGGCACTGGCAGATAACACAGAAGTAGTATGAGAAGGGAATGAATCAGTGCTGCCTTAACAAGAGGAAAAGGCTGGCAGGGCATTGAGCCAACTTCACTAGACGGTTCGGGCCACAGGTAATCTAAGAAACAGGAGTCGCTGAGGATTAGAGGAGAAACAGGGATGGAGCTGTGGGAGTGGAGGTGGAGGTTGCTAAGCAACCCCCAGCGGGAGTATGAGGAGCAAATGGGGTGGTGCTGCTAGGAAACCCAGGATGGACTACGGACAGCAGGCTGGGGTGCTAAGCAACTAAGGGCCTGGTAGAGGCAAGGCGGGCCCTTAGCACTTCTCAGCAAACCAAGCTGAACACAAAGTTTGTGGAGGGCTCCGGATAGAGCTGCTAGGCAACCGGGGGAAACAGAAAGTAGCCAGGAGTTAGGAAAAGCATTGTGTGCAACCCAGTTGGGAATACCAAGTGGGCCGGGAACGGAGCTAGGTAACCCTCGGACTGTGGATGGCAATGGTCAGGTGGCCTAGAGAGACCAGCAGGAGCAGGGAAGGCAGCACCTAAGGGGTTTGGGGACGGTATCTAGGGGCACACGGGAGAGACTTCCCTTCTAAGGGCTCCAGCCTAGGCAACCCAGCAAGATACAACGCGGCTAGGGGGAGGGATGACGTCGCTTGTCATTGAAATAGACCAATAAAAGGGCTGGGTGGGGGTGGAGCTGCTAAGCAATTAAGGGATGGGGGGAGTGGAAATGGTTGCTAAGCAATCCAAAAGGCCGCAACAACAGGTGGGCGTCTGCTGAGGATGGCGTTGATGGGTAACCCCAGCCTTACTTGGGGGTGGCAGGGCGCACCAGGACCCTCTTGGCTTCGCGGGGGGCCACATGACGGCAGGTGAGCACGAGGCGCGGGGCCAGCGCCACTCCGGAGCCCCACACGGACCCACACTCGACCAGGACGGCCGCGACCCACGCAGCCCCGTGTTCCGGGAGGGGGATGGGGATGGCGGCCTCCCCGTCCTCGGGGGGCAGGAGCGCGGCCAGCAGGCGCGCGTCGGCGGGGCGGCCCAGGCGGCCCAGCGCGTGGGCTGCGGCGCGGAGGAGCGCGTCGGCGGCGCACAGCAGGCTCAGGCCCACCCACTCGCGGGCCCGCCAGCAGAGCGGCGCCGCCACGAGCGCCACGAGCTCGCCGTCGGCCGAGAAGACGCCGGCGCCCTCGGTGCCGGGCAGGCAGCGCGCGTCGGTGAGGAGCAGCGGGCCGGCCGCGTTGCTGAGCACGCCGCGGCTCAGGCTGTTGAGGAAGATGTCCGGGCAGAAGGCGCCGAACGGGGAGCCGCAGGCGAGCAGCGGGGCGCCCTTGGGCAGGGAGGCGGCCGCGGCCACCGACAGCCGCGGGCCCCCAGCCGCCTCGGCGCGACCCTCCACGCTCAGCAGCGCGAACCAGCCGAGCGCCGCCAGCAGCGGCCCCTCGTCCGCCCACGCGCCCGCTTCGGCCTCGGGCTCCTGCGGGGGCGCGGGCGGCTCGGGGCCGCCGCTCGCGAAGCGCCACTGCTCGGCCGCCTCGCCGCCGAAGAGGCGCTCGAAGCTGGCGCGGAAGGCCGGGCAGGAGACCAGCAGCAGCAGGCGGGCGCGGGCCGGGCCGCGGGGCGCCGGCTGGGCGCTACAGGGCGGCGTGCACAGCGTGCCCCGCAGCCCAGCCGGTGCCCTCGGCCCGCGGCCCGGCCCCCACTGCACGTGCAGCCGCAGGTCGTCGCGGCAGCCGTCGGCTCCCAGGAAGGGCGGCCCGGCCCCCGGCTGCAGAGCCGAGGCGCCGGCGCGCAGGAAGGGCGCCACGATGCCCCCGTGGCACAGCACGAGTCCCGCGCGCCGGCTCAGCAGCACCCCGCTGCAGCTCCACGGGCCCTTGGCCCCGGGCCGCTCCGCGCCGCGGGCGATCACCACGCAGCCCGCCTGCTCGCCCACCGCCAAGGCTGGGCCCCACCGCCGCCCCATGGCCCGGGACGACTCGCCGAGCTGCGAGTTCAGGGGCCCAAACCGAGCCCTGCCGCAGCCCAGGGCCTTCTGCGCCGGCACCCAATAGGGTCCCGGAACTTTTTTCCTCTAGCCTCTTGATTGGCTGACCGGCGCTGCCCGCGCGATGGGATTGGATGGCCGGCCAGCGACGCCTACTTGGAGCGTGCGCAGCAGGGAACTGCTGCCTTCCCGCAATCACAGCCCCGCCCAGGCAGTAGAACGGCTACGGGAGCCAGCCAATCCAGACTGTCGTCTTACGGAAGCGGGCGGGGGCGGCTCAGGGTCAAGTTCATAGGGCGCTTTACAGTTGGCCTTCGCCTTGTTACCTCTGGCCCCGTGAGATTAGGAGTGAGGTGGATACTGTTTCCATTTTGCCGAGAAAGGCAGTGACTTGCCCAGGGTCACCCAGCTGGCACCGAGGCCCAGCACTTCCCACCCAACCACCAAAACCCATCCCTAAGGCAGGGGTCACCACCTACTTGTGTAGGGTTTTTATGCAAGTGTATTTTATTTGTTTATTTATTTAATTTATTTGTTTATTTATTACACAGCCAGGTGAGGAGCCGCCTGCTCCTTCCTGGCTGTTTGCCAACCCTGGACCTGCAGTATAAAATTCAAATTTCGCCCCCTTACCTTTGGCAGCAGTCAATCACAGCATCCTTGGACCCAGGTGAAAACCAGCTTTATTACAAGAGAAATTAACAAGTTCAGGAAACCCCTTAACATATTCTGGGCTTTCCACAATGCAATTCATAGCTACCTAGATTTAGAGCAGGGGAAGGAATTTTAAAAGCCATCTTGTCCATTAAGCGACTTTTCCAAAACCAAGCCCACAAACATTTATTAAGCACCTACTCCATACCTTCTCTAATCCTATTCCCCTGTACCCACGACAAACTGGACTACTCTTTCATTCCAGTCCAGCACTCTGCCATAATCCCATCAAGTAGAATGCCCTCCATCCCAATTTCCACCCACTGCCATACTATCATTCTCATGCGAAATGCCACTTCTGTAAAGTCAATGAATCAGCAAGAATTTTTTAAGCACCTACTCTGTGCTAAACACGGGATTCCAGTCAAAGGAAGGCACTAGAATTAGGGGTGACCCCGAAAGGCTTTTTTTTTTTTTTTTTTTTTTGGTGAGGCAATTGGGGTTAAGTGACTTGCCCGGAGTCACACAACTAGTAAGTGTTATGTGTCTGAGGCTGGATTTGAACTCAGGTCCTCCTAACTCCTAGCTGCCCCACCAAAGGCTTCTTGCAGAAGGTGAGGATTTAGCTGAGACTTGAAGGAAGCCAGAAGATAGAGTTTAGGAGGGGGAGCATTCCAGGAATGAAGGACAGCCAGTGAATATGCCAGAGTCTGAAAATGGACTGTTTTATGCCAGAAGGGGCAAAGAGGCCAGTATCATTGGGTCAAAGAGTATAGGGTGGGGAGTAAGGTCTAACAGGATGGGAAAGGTAGGATGGGACCAGTTTCTAAAGGTCTGTTTTATCCTGGAGTTGACAGGCAGTCATTGGAACCCATCAAGAAGGGGGAGGACAGGATCAGGCTGGCACTTTAGGAAGATCAGCCTGACAGCTGAGTTGAGGAAGGCCCGGAGCGGGGAGGGACTTGAGACACGGAGGCTCTTTGTATTAGTGCAGGCATGAGCCCACAGGGGTCTTCAGCAAGAGAGTGGTAGTGTTAAAGGAGAGAAGGGGAACATACTAGGTAAAATGCATGAGCCTTGACAACTGATTGGATCTGGGGGTGAGAGAGAGTGAAAAGCCAGAATGACTCCTAGGTTGGGAGGATGACGTTGCCCTCTGTTGTTTGTCCTTCCTTTGCCGACAAGACCAGTGATATCAGGTGATGCCTTGGATTTAAGTGAACCTCACTCTCATCTCCCTGAATCGTCACAAGTCCAGTGGCAGGACCAAGTCAGGATGACCGGTGATGGCCTGGGATGCAGTGGATGACCTTGGCCTCTCTGATGTCTGAGGAAGCTCAAAGCACTCCACAATGCCTGCTTCAGCCACCTTTGTGGCCAGTGCAGCAAGCTGTTCTCACCTGCCCCTTCTGCCAAGGGCAGGCTTAATATGCTTGGGGTGGACACCCCCCAACTCCCCAGCGGGTTTGAGGTCCATCAGTTACCCTCAACCTTATTTTAGCCCTTCTTTGAGACCGTTTACCAGGGTATGGCCGCTGTACACGCTGCAGGAATCACAGGTGAGGGGTGAGTGCCAGGTGGATACCAAAGGTGGATGAGCAGCCCTCACCCCAGAGGTGCTAGTCCTCCCTGAACACTCCACACACACCCCCCCCATCATCACCTGCGTACATCCTCCAGCCAGATCAGCTCCAACAGGGCCTCTCTCTCAAATGCACAGGAAGGCTTAGGCTGGTTGTAGCCAGGGATGTTGGTCAAGTAAGATGGATCTACCATTCATATCAGACATACGGCACCTTCATGGATCCTCACAATGCCAATAGATATTAACATACTTTCTCCAGCGTCAAGAAGGATGAGGCCACACAAATGGAATTCCAAGTATATTAAAATGGAGGGGGAGAAGAGGCAGAGTTTGGAGATGCAATACACAGTAGTACAAGAGGGCAAGAGACTTGGCAAGAGAATACGTAATGAAACTGGTTCACCAAAGGGTCAAGATGGGGAAGGAAGGAGAGGTTAGCCAGTGCTGAAGTCATCGTCTGGGAAAGAACTGAAGGCTGGAGATCCCAGTAAGGATAAAAGAACTGTGTTTGAGGTTGCATGGCAAAGGGAAGGGGGAATGACAAAAGATTGTAATCGGATATGGAAAAATCATAAACATGGAAGTGGTGTCCATGCAGGACCTGAACCCAGGTTTTCCTAACCTCAAGACCAGCTCTCCCCACTACAACACACTCTTCTGGTTTATAACTTATCATGCACAAGGCAGTCATTGGATATCAATATTGATTATAAGACCATAGATGGATTTAGAGTCCTGGCTCTGGAGTCATAGGACCCGAGTTCAAATCCTGCCTCTGGTATTACCTGTGTGACCTTGGACAAGTCATTCAATGTCTTTGGCCTCAGTTTCTCAGTTTCCTCATCTGTAAGATGAATGGGTTGAACCAGTTGGCTTCTAGGGTTCCTTCCACCTCTCTTTACTAGCGCATATTCCCTGATCTCAACCCCATCAGTTTGTCTCGACTCTAAATTAGTGTAGGCCGCCCCTTCGAGCCTGGGAAACAGTGATTAAGGACTGAACTTCCATTTCCTTCATGTATTGAATAGTTGATGAGAAACCTCCTCCACTAGGTGAGGTCAGCACCTTTTTTGTAACTTAATAGTCTGGGGGGGTTGTCTGAAGCACTGATTACTTAGTAAATTGCCCAGGTCATCTCTTTGGCTATTCAAAGTTCTCTTTGGTACCTTGCCTCTTCCTATCTTTCCAGCTCACTCACCACCAGGTTGGTTGCTGGTCGGGGAATTATGGGCCACAGCAACTTTCAAAGAATGTCTCCTAAATTAGAGCGGCTGCAATATGAATCCTTGGAAGGTAAACCCACAGTGATGAAATGACAGACCCTTGAAGTATGGAAGTGTTTAAAGAAGTTTAATATTTTCACAACACATAATCAAGGCACAAAGTCTCACTCAGGCTAATAATTATCTTTCACAATAGAACCACAAAAGGGGCCACGATTAATGGTTTTCCCTTGGACACTTGGCCCTTTCTTGGGCCTGGGCCTAATAACTGTAAAAGTCCTGTTAACTATTCCAGCTTCCAGTGATAAAGAGTATCTCCCTCCCTGGAGTCCAATGATCTTCCCCTAATGATACTGAAGCAATTAGCAAAGGGTGCTGTGTTGATATGGTGTGTTTACGATATGGAAAATGCCTGAGAGCTTTGATTTCCCCAAGTCACAAACACTATGAAATTGCTTAAAAAATCATCACTGCTGGCATTTATATAGAGCTTTACATAGTCTTAATTGATCTTCAGAACCATTCGAGTGCTATAATTATTTCCATTTTACAGATGAGTTCATTGACTAGGCAGAATCTGAACCCAGGTCTTCCTGACTCCAAGATCAGCATTCTATTCATTACTGCTCGCTGCATCACAGGAACATTCTCAAAGTGTAAACCTTGTCACCTTGCAGTTCAGCTCAAGACAACAAAGATACACCTCTTCTGTGTCCCAAGATTGTTCAATGGGGACATCAGCTTCAGACAGGTGGCAATTTACTACCTCAGACCTGCTGTGTTTTGAGTTCAATCTGTACCAGCACTTCAAGGTATCCATTTGGCATTTATCCCATGGATGAGGCTTATTAAAAACCTGACGAGTCTTAGAGCAGCGTCAACCTACTTCTCACCTAAGCATAGATAGCAATCCTTTGGGTTCTTAAGTTCGTAATACTAAGGATACACCCTGAGCTCCATTAAGACCCTCCTCACCTTTGATTAAGCAATGAGACACTCCCCCTACAATTTCAGGGATAATAATCAACACACCAAGCCTGTAGTACCATTAAACTGAAGCATCCCCTTGTAGTAGAAAAGAGGACAGACACTTAGATTCAGATCCCAGCTCTGAGGCTTGAGCCCTGTGAACAATGGGCAAGTCATCTTGGCCTCTCTGAGCCTCAGTTTCTTTATTTATAAAATGGCAGCCTACTGCCCAAGGCACCACTTTGTAAAGCTCCAATTTCATCCCATATGTCCCATCAGTTGCCAAATCTTGCTATTTCTAAAATCAATATCCCTTCAAAACTGTTAACTTCTATTGGGCCAACCACCCCCTTAGTTTAGGCCCCAAAACTCTGCTCCCCTTGTCTACTGCAATAGCTTCTGCGTGTCTCCTGTTTCATATCTCACCTCTCTACAGCCTTAAGCGTCCACACAGCTGTTAATGTGAGGTCACCGCTCCACTTCACAAAACCCTATTCCAACTTGTTTGCCTTTTAAAGCCCTATCCTATCTTTCCCTCCTCATCCCACATTAATCTCCTACCACTTCTCCCTGTTCTTCACACCCATCAGTTCATCTCCCATCTCTGCCTTTGTATTCTCCCCGTTTTACCTCACCCCCAAGGCACAAAAACATTCTTTCCTCTTCTTAGTCACAAAACATCCAGCTCAAGAATCAGCTTCCACACGAAGGCCTACGGTTCTCCTGATCTACCCCCAGGTGTTAGATCCTGCCCTCCCATTTTGTATTTCTGCTGTACACTCTGGAAAGCCAGACTGTCTCCCAATAGAGCCTAAGTTTCTTGAGAACAGTTTATTTTTCATCATTGTACCCCAAGCTCCTAGCACTATGCTAGGTATATGGTAGGTATTTAATACTTCTAAATTAATGCTTGTTGATCAGCTGACTTCAAGCACCTCGAGAAACAGGGGATTTTAGGGTGCACCAGGATCCTTTTGTGAAATAGGTCACCTTGGCTCCTTTCTTTTCTCCCTTTCTCAAGGTTTTCTGGGGACGTGAGACACACACACTGTGGTCAAACCATAACTAGACTAGTACATTCAGTGGCAAGCTCTTTTTTTTTTAACTTTTTATTAAAATGCACTGGATACAGAATGACCTTCTTTTGCAAACAATTGCTTCACTTTTCCAGAAAGGGGAACAGCAAACACCTTGATACAACATAATAAAGTTTCCATTCACATTAACATCTATAAGCAGCCCTGGACCTATGATATAATCACACATTGAACTTCCACTGGCTGTATTTCTCAGCAGTCTCTGTAGAGGAATGGTGCATACACCATGGGGCACGAGGAGGATGGTTCCTCTCACTTTGACCCCTTCTTTCTCCAGTGGTAAACAGACCACTTTCACAGAAGGTTGCCCTAGCTTGGGGCAATGTCTTTCTAGCTCACAACAGAGAAAAATTAGCTCAATACTGAAGCAACCACACTTCCCAAGTCTCCACGGAGAGAAGTATGAGCAGCTTCTTGCAAAAAAAAAGACAAGCAAGGCCACTATGTGGTTCAGTCATTGATAACTAGATTTGTTCACTTGTAAGGCATCTGCCCCTTCCAAACCCACATAAACTTTCATTTTGTTGCTTTGCTGTTTTAAGAAATAACATCAATGGCAAAATATTCAAAAAAGAGAAGCATCCTTTGGACAGGAAAACTATGGCCCTGCAAGACTCTCACATCTGTCATGGTGCTAAACCACTTCAATATTTGGCCATGGGGACCTCCAGCACGCCAATACTGGGGATCAAGAATGATAAGCCTGATCGAAGTCGTACCAACTCTTTCCTATTCCAAGATATCGTCTTGTCTATTTCTCCCCTTCTTCCCATAAGCCTAATAGTCCAGACCCCTCTAAATAATAACATCACTGCAGCTTCCAATGTTGGGTAGGGACACACTTTAGACGACCAGTAAAAGTAGGTTTTATCTTGAGATAGTTGTTTTAGTTCTTATTGCCAAGGAGCTAACAATCAGTTAAGAGAAGTCCAGTTTCATAGGGCATTCGAGAAATGGGAAGCCATTAACACACGTTTGCTGATGTCAACATCACAGGAGCACTTGGCTTCTGACGATGGATGCCACTGGTTCAAGATCAGCAGCTCACCCGACAGAATGTAGATTTCTGACGGGGGAGGGGTAAATCGTGGGAAAGAACTATCTCAGGAACAACCTATGCACCCAACTTCCATAATCCAGTCGTTCAGTTCAATCCCAGTCACCCTTTCTGGAATCACCAAGCAGATCCAGTTCTTAATCAATGGAGAATCCGATGATCTCAAGCCAATACAGTGCTCCCCTGTGTATCAGTGGTCTTTGGAGGATGGTTTCCTAACCTGTATGCAAAGTGACTTAAAACATCTGCAGCATGCAATGAAGCAGAATGCTTGGTTTTGGTCCCACTGCTTTCTCGGGAGGATTAAGTCAGTTTGTTGTTGTTGTTGTTTTTTAAATAACTGAAAAGGAAGAAAGAATTTGCTCTAGGCAGAAGTGAAAAATTCAAGAGAGTATAAAATCAGAACCTGGCTTAAATTCATCACCTTTTTTCGATAAGTAAATTGAATGTGGTGCACTTTTCTAATTTTTTTTTTTTTTTGCAAATGATTAGCCCCTTTGATAAAGAATTATGACCCAAATCTACTGCTGCAGAAAACCTGCTGACAAAACTGGACACCAAGATGTCGTCCCTCTCCTAGTGCTCTATGCAGCAGGAGGAAAAAGTACCTCAGACCAGCACCTCCTAAGGCAAGGCAGTCACCAAGACAGGTGAACTCCAAGAGACTTCACTGAACCACTCAGCCATGAAAGCATCTGATCCACAATCTGCCTGGTCCAACAGAGCAGCCACACCCAAACCTAGATTTACCGTGGGTCTCAAATATATTTGCTCAGTATTTTTGTAAAATATCTAAATGCTATTAAATAGATTTAAAAAAAAAAAACAACCCTAATGTAGACTCTGGACTAAACAAGTGACCGTTAACTGAAGAAGTTGGAAGGGACACGGATTACGTTGATAACACTTATTTAAAAAATAGAATTGTTTTCTTTTTCTATCAACTACAGTGGTGAGACAGGTTGTTCTTTTCAGCTGCCCCTGCAAAGCGCCCTGGCAGGCGAGAGCCCCAGAGAGCGAGAGCCGGCTTCACCCAGCCCGTGGGGAGGCACTCTGCTCCCCCCCAAAGGGTGGAAAAGAACAAGTGTCACCACTGGGCCATCAGAGAGCTGCCCAAGGCTCCTCCCGGCTTTCCCAACGCCAGGATGTGGTCGGAGAGCTTTCCGTGTCATAAGAGAAAAGTCCACGAGGAAGCTGTGAACAGGATCAGTCCAGAGAAGCAAAAGGCTTTTATTTTCACTGCCCCCACATCAGTCAATGTATTGAGAAAGCCAGCGGAAACCCTCGCCGTAGCCCTGCCTCTTGAGCACACTGCACATGAACACCTCCATGGGGCGGGCGTTCAGCTCCTTCAGGGGTACGTTTCCCTACAGGAGTCAAAAAAGGGAGAAACGGTGATTAGAATCTTAGTGGCCTCGAAACCTGAGCATGAAGTCACTAAAATCCATCTCCAATCTAACTACTGATTAGGAGACCTGGAGGGAAAGGGCAAGAAAACTCCCAAAGAACCCCAGGCATGAAGAATTAGCAGCACTGCAAATTTGGAGGCAGACTATGAGCAACCATGAGTGAAGAAAGGGACAGATATTGCCTGTGTGTCACCAAATCAAGGAATTCTTCTTAGAGATGAGACTGTTAACAGTTCACTATACGTGCAGCTAAGTTCAGGGAAAAACTTCATAGTGTAGAAAATACACTCACACAGAGGAGGGATGGATGGCGTCTGAAGGTCCATTTGCAGAGACAAAGGAACAGTGATAACAGGGGTGGGGGTGTAAAACACGTACTCATAAGCCACAGGGTGAGGAGGAAGGGAAAGATTCAAACAAGTGTCCAAACCAAAACACACTATTAGCTGACAAGGTTGGGAGATCCTGCTCTAATTATTCTAAATCTCTCTCTCTCTCTCTCCCCCTCCCTCCCTCCTCTCTCTCTCTCTCTGTGTCTCTGCTTTTCTGTCTCTCTGTCTCTATCTCTCGCATACCTGTTTTATACAACAGATTCATCTTTCCAACTGGCGCCAGTGTGGTCTACTCCTCCGGAAGACTCATGTTCTAATCCTTGTTCTGTTACTGATTTGCTTTGTAGACTTAACCTCAGAGAGAGAGTTTCCTTATCTGAAAAACGGGGATAATAATACTATCTATCTCACCAGGGAATTACAACAATGGATAACATGATTTGAGATCTGTGACTTGGAAGGGAATATCAAATCACAACTACTCTTCTGTGGAAACAAATTCCCTAAAATAATGTCTAAGAAGAAAAAGTTGTTCTAAGAAAGAGTTGTCAAATATGGAATGGAATCCAACAAAGCCTAGATTACTAAAGTGATAACTCTGCCTTTACTACCAACCTCCTCTAAATTCTCATCTTGATAAATATCACCTGCATCAAACAGAAAGGTGTACGTAGGTATAGTTCAGGGGCATAGGGCTAAGATCTGAACACAGTCCTGCCATCAGAATTATAAAACTTCATGGTAAAACAAAGTTTTGGTCTTCTTAAACTTTTCAAAAGACAGTTAAAATCCAGATTCTCCAACAGGAAAGTTTTAGCTAAAGGCTTCATATTTCTCCCCCTAATACGTTTCTCGTTTACCTTTCCTGTGGTCTGTCCATAAAGCCCAAATATCTCACGGAGTCTCTCCTCACTGATCGCATCTGATCTGTCAATCTTATTGCCCAAAATAAGGATTGGCACATTGGATATTGTTTCATCTGTCATTAGTGCCTAAAGACAAGACACAAAAGTTAGTTTTTCAAAAGACCAAAGGATGGTAAGCAAGCATTTGATGTTTAACAGTCCTTGAGCAGCGCACCTGACAATTCTCATAAATGAATAATTTAGGCGAAGCTGGGCAGACCATAAACTCAGCTCTCTAGTAGTACACAACCGAAACATTCTTCGTACCAGTGAAAAATGGCCACCTGCTTCAGATGAGCCCCTTAGGCTAGGCACAGATCGCAGCTCAATTGCTCTACGCACCATCACTCATCAGGCCTACACACACAGTCTAGCCAAGCAGTGCACGCACAGGGTTGTAAGTGATCTTCAAAGATATGCTGTGGCATACTTGTCAGAGATCAACCTGAATGGAAACTCTGTAAAGCAGCATGTCAAGAATCTTACTCGATGGGCATGAACTGGGCACCAATTACCAGCCAGCACTAGAAAGTGAAGTAAATAGGAAAAACACTAGAGGTGTTGGAGGCCCTGCCTTTAAGGGTATTACATCTTGATAAACACACACACACACACACAGAAATGAAAATCTGTGTGAGAAAGAGAGGTATGCAGTGAAGATTCACTGTGACCTAAAGGAGTTGAGCAAAGGCTCCTGAAGCAAGTGAGCTGAGCTGGATCCTGAGGGATGAGGAGGATTAAGATAAGCGCAAAGAAAGAGAAGAAGTTTCCTGAAAGGTGGAATAAGCAGGAGACTTTAAACAAATGTGGACAAAGACGTGATGCATCAGATACAAGCAAAGTGTGCCAAGGAGAGTGGATATAAATTATTCAAAGCCTTGGATGCCAAAAGCCAACTTTAACTTAAAGGCAGTGGGGTTCCTGAACAGGTAGTGACCTCATCTTGAGGCAACAAGCCAGAGATCAGAAGGAAGAGAAGATGGCAAAAGAGATCTCAGTCACAGAGACTGGTGCAGCAGTCCAGGTAGAAGACGACGATGGAGGCAATGACAGTGCTGTGAAGGCCTTCTTGTGAAGGATTTTGAAAACAGAATTTAGGAACTGCTGGATTTGGGAGGCAAAGGCAAGGAAGGATTTCACGCCTGGTTCACTGAGATGGAGTAGTTGGGATTCTGAGGGTTCCATTTTGGACATTCTGAATCTGAAACATTAAAGAGGAGCTGAGACTGATGCTCAGGTCTAGAGACGAGCTGAACTTAGGACATCACCAGCCACCAGGAAAAAGGTTAATTAAAGGACTAAAAGCAACGACTCAAGAGCTGACCTTTGGAGAAACACCCACAGTTACAGGACAAGAACAGGAAGCCAAGAGAGGAAAGACTATCTGAAAAGACAAATAATCAAAAGCTAGAGAGAACCCAGAGGTCACTGGCCTGCAAAAAGCCAGTCATTCAGCCTACTGTGTTTCAATAGAGCAGGGAGAGCAGAAACCAGGTTAGGGACAGAGGCCAAGGAAAAGCATCATTAGGGACAGGAAAAAAATGGACTTTTTGACTCCTGAATAAGGGTTCTTAATATCTCTCCCAGAAATCTCATTCTGTAGTTTACCTGTCAGACCTACGGAGAAGGGAAGAACTTAGGACAAAACACAAGAGAGCATTATGAGATGTAAAATGATAGTTTTAATTATATTAAATTAAAAAGGTTTTGCACAAACAAAACCAATGCAACCAAGATTAGAAGGAAAACAGAAAGCTGGGAAACAATTTTTACGCCAAGTTTCTCTCATAAAGACCCTGTATCTCAAATAAAGAACTGAATAAAATTTATAAGAATACAAGTTATTTCCCAATTGATAAATGATCAAAGCATATGAACAGGCAGTTTTCAGATGAAGAAATCAAAGCTATCTATAGTCATATGAAAAAATGCTCTAAATCACTATGGATTGGAGAAATGCAAATTAAAACAACTTTGAAGTACCACTTCATACCTATCAGATTGGCTAATATGACATAAAGAAAAATGACAAATGCTGGAGGAGACTGGGAAAATAGGGACTGTTGGTGGAAAATAATGCACTGTTGGTGGAGCTGTGAACTGATCCAATCTTTCTGTAGAGCAATTTGGAACTATGCCCAAAGGGCTATAATACTACTACTAGATCTGTATCCCAAAGAGATTTAAAAAAAGGGGGGGGGAGGATCTATTTGTACAAAAATATTTATAGTAGCTCTCTGGAGGGGGGGAGATGAAAAGAACTGAAAATTGAAGGGATGCCCATCAACTGGAGAATGAATGAACAAACTGTAGTATAAGATTGTAATGAAATACTGTTTTGAAATGATGAGCAAGATGCGCTCAGAAAAACTCGGACTTACATGAACTGATGGAGAGTGAAGTACACAGAACCAGGAAAACACCATACACAGTAACAGCAATTTTACACAGTGAACAATTGTGAATGACTTAGCTATTCACAGCAACAGAATGATCCAAGACAATTCCAAAGGACTCATGATGAAAAATATCTGTCTCCAGAGAAAGAACTGATGGAGTCTGAAAGAAGATTGAAGCATACTATTTTTCACTTTACTGAAGGAAAAGGCTTCAAGAACAGGCCTGGTAACCCAGATTTGCTCTATCTCATCCCTAAAGACATTCAGCTAGGTTTGTAGAAGCTTACCACCAGATAGGTGACTCCAAGGTGATAACTGTTTTCTTTAGTCACAGCAACTCACAAAGACCTGTCACCAGAGTGCATAAATAGTATAATCTGCAATAGTGGAGGTGAGTGACCACCTAAGTGAAATAACAAATCCCTGAAATAATGAAACAGGCATAGAACCTATAACTCAATACTCTGGTGTGTATGAGAAGGGACAGAGACAAAGAACACTACAAACGTTGCCAAAGTACTTGAGTCAAAAATTCAACACTGTAACATATCTCAAATCAAAACAATAGGAAGTAGAGAAGATACTGAGGACAGAGACTTTTGAAAAAAGATTACAAACATACATTGAGTTCAACTTTGGATTCCAAGAGGCGAGGATGATCTGCACAGTCCACCAGGAAGACAATCCCATTAATTGCTGGTAAATAGTTTTTCCAAACCCGCCGGGCTAGAAAAACAGAAGTAAGAAATGTTCATTTATTTCCCTCAGAACAAAACCTAGAAACAATGACTAATGATTTAACAAAAAGGATTCTCTATTAATGTGACAAGTTACATCCCCTCCGGATTGGCCAAATTCTATCCCAGTATTAAGGCAGCTCAGGAAGCAAAGTGCTTCACTCTATAGAAATACTATTCACTGAATTATGATTGAATGCTATGCCTGATGCCTTTGTAGAAGGTTAAGAAAACCATGCAGCTTAGCAGATTTTCTCTAACCTCTTAATATCAGGCTGGCAGCAGATGATAGGGTTGAGCCCTCCCCACCAACACCCCAGCCACCTCCTTCCCCACCCCCATTCCCACTCCCACAGTCCACCACTGCCACTGCACCTGAAGAACTCCTAGGCCATTTCATCTGCCGTGCTGCCATGCTCTCCATAACCATTCCCGCCCTGTACCCAGTGCCTGACCTCCCACGCTGCTGTTGAACCTTCCTTTATTTGTAGTCTGCCCAAACTGAATGTGAGCTCCTAGACAGCAGAGATTGTCTCAGTCTGCATCCCCAGTGCTTTGGCCCATAGCAGCTCCTTGACAAATGTCTTTTCATTCAATCAAGATATTAATGATTACATTATTCAATGTCCTGTATATACAAACCCACATGATATATTCCTGCTTGGGTTTAGTTCCATGGGAAAAAATTCTCTGCAGATGAATTTGTACACCCTTGTTGGAAAATAAAAACTATGTACCAAACGTTTCCCTTTTTGCCCTGGCTGCCACAAAGCTTAATGCAAAAGTCATTGCCTGAATGCTCTAGTCTACTCAACTGAGATGCTTGAAAACATCTATTCCTTCTGCTCCTTTCAGATGGTCTGTTCTGTTTTATCCTGAAATGTCTTATCTTGCACTGTTTTAATCTGTAAATCACCTTAAGTCCCTTTGAAAGACACAGGGTACCAATCTTAAATAAATAAAATAAAAAGTCAATTAGATGTCAATAAAAGCACTTACTACATAATTACAATGCTCCAACAGGAGGCTTATTAACCACATTTCATAGCAAATTTCTACCCCCTTTTATCTCATCCCCACTTCCATTAATTTGACTCCTTCAGCCTTAAAAGAGAGGCATCAAATAGAAGAGAGCCAACTAAGTACACAAACACGAGTGGTCTACTTTGATTATTTCTCTAAAGCTACACATTAAAGCTACTTTGGAATAAGAAAGCCGTATGTGTGTCATGCTTAAAAAAAGAACTAAATGATCCTCATGCAAATGCAAATTAGCATAGTGGCCAAAACACTGGATTGAGAGTCCTAGGACTAAGATTTAGATTCAAGCTCACTTCATCTCTGTCCATGGGTCTCAATTTACTCATCTATAAAATGAAGGGTTTAAAATGAATGACCTCCAAAGTCCCTTCCAGCTCTGAATCTGTATTATAAACAAGGCTTATCTAGTGTTAAGTACAATGGACTATTAAAAGCAGCACAAACTATCCCTTACCTTGCTCGTGTCCACCAAGATCAAAGGTTGTAAAAGTCATTCCTGCAATCGTCAGCTCTTCAGATGCTGTAAAAAGATGGGAAGGAGAAAACATCTCTTTCAATTGAGCTAAGACCTAATGATCAGTAATACATCAGTAATATGATCATGTGTTTAACATATTAGAGCATGGACATTCAGCAAAGAGAAGAAACCCCCAAATTATCCTAACTGGTTATGAGAGGAATGTCTCTTTTTCTGCTACTTCTCAGAAGTGAAGAGACTGTGAATCATGACCGACTTTCAGGACCAGACTAGGAGTTACAACACCACCATAAAGAAATTCAATAGCATGTTATCTATATGTCTACAATTGGAATGTGTCCTACAGAATGGTTTCCATGGGATTCTTTTTTCTATTACATTTGGGTTAATGCAAGTGAGGCTCCAATTTAGAATCCGCCCGCTAACTCAGACACAACTCTCCAGAAGCAGAAGCTGCCGCTGGGCCTCTTTACACTTACTTGGATGTAGTGTTGGAACATGCTGGCCCAATCTATCATCTTTGAGCATGTGCAAAAGGGTTGTTTTGCCTGCATTGTCCAAACCCAAGAACACAAGTTTTCCCGATTTCTTGTAGAGTCCTACAAAAGAAACAAATTTAAACTACGACCTTGTTCAATGTGGAACACGTTTCTCACTTTTACCTTTTGTGAGGAAATGTATACAAAGCTTGAAATCTAAGATATATTCCCAAAAGAAAACTTCTTTACCTAAAAACTGCAGGACACTGCTGAAGCCATTATAGATCCACTCAAAGATGAACGACATTATCGTAGCTCAACTATAAAAAACACAGACAGCCAACATTAATTTGGACAATACAGGTACTTAAAACTCATAGTATGACAGACACAATACTGAGGTTGAGAGCTGCAACTTAGCGCTGGAAGGTCCCTAACAGGCATCCGGCCCAATTCCCCCATTTTAGAGATGAGAAAACTAAGTCCCAACGAGTACAAGTGACTTGCCTAGGATGACAGAAGGTAGCAGCAGAACTGGGATTCAAATCCATGTCATCTGATTCCAAATAATAACGGTAATGGTAATAAAAACAACAACAGTAATAATAAAATAGCTAGCATTTTTAGATAGCACTTTACAAAGTGCAAGACACTGTGCTAAATCCTTTACAAATATTATCTCATTTGATCATGACAACAACCCTGGAAGGTATTATTATTATCCCCATTTTATCACTGAGGAAACTGAGGCAAATTGAGAGTGACTTGCCCAGGGTCACACTTCTAGGAAGTGTCTAAGACTGGATTTGAACGCAGGTCTTCCTGCTTCCAGGTCTAGTGTTCAATCCACTGCAGTGCTCTTTCCACCTGTCTCTCTGCCAAAAGTGATCTTAACCTATTCTGTCCTTAAAAATTCTCCCTGAAAGTGTCAAGGTGGTAAACAGGTAATTTATTTCTCTCAGGTCTTCCCACCCATCACGATTACAGAATGTCCTCCCAATGGTTCCTGACTGCCCTCCTTCATGAGTATTGGAGTCAAGATGACCTGGGCTCAAATCCTGCCTGACACAATAGCTCGATTAACATATTTTCAGTCTTTTAATTTCTATGAACCTCAGGTTTTCTCCTCTGAAAATGGGATTAATAATCCTCATAGCACTTACTTCATAGGGTAGTTAAGGAGTTCAAATGGAAACACATGAAAAGTATTTTGCAAACCTTAAAGTGCTATGTATGTCATCCATTTCGTAAGTATAAGAAATAATGATGCAGAGTGCAGTAAACAGGGCCAGGAGAACAATTTAGACATCAGTGATATTTTTAAGGACAAACAACTTTGAAAGACTGGGACCTCTGATCAGTGTAACCACCAGTCACTATTCCAGATGAAACATGCCACCTACCCCCTGAGAGAGAGGTGAAGGCCAAAGAGCGCCCAGTGGAAGCTTGTTGTGCCTATGTGTCTGTAACATCAGCTTTGCTTTTCTTCTGTTCTCAACGGGGGGAGGGGAACCATTTCAGGGGAGGGAAAGAAGGTGGATTTTTGCTAATTAAAAAAATATATGATATGTCATAAAGTACTATGTGAAATGGAAGAAGGAACTTGGCCATAAGCCAAGCACAGGCGCACCCTAATTTAAGATCTAAATTTACAAAGCAGACAAATTATGCCATTACTATTCACATTATTAAAGAAGATTCTCTTTTGTCTCCTTTCCTTTAAATAACTCCCCAATCACATTCAGAATGATTAAATTTTCAAAAATGCTATTTCTATTTCATTTCAAATACATCCACTTATAGTGGAAAGGCAATATGTACAGTGGGCCTAGAGCTAGCCTCTGGCACTCACAGAGTGGCTGTATGATCCTGGGCAAATCACTTCCCCTCTCTAAGACTCTCTCCAAGCTGGAGAGAAGGTGGACCTGCCCTGGAAGAGGGACTTGCTCCCCACGAGCTGATGAAGTCGCAAGTCTAGAAACAAAATACACCAAAACAAAAACCTTCAGTGTAAACAGGTTCTCCCTGCCACTGCAGAGAAGTTAAAACCTTCTTTGTTAAAAGGAGCACCCACAGGGACAAAAAGCACCAAATACGTTGTGCCAGCAGAGGGGATCTGCATCATTATTTCCTAATACAGTTTTATTTATGATGCTCATTTTTTTCATCAAGCATTTATTAAGTACTGAGCCTACCAGAACAAAAATAAAGCAGGCCCTGCCCTCAGACTCTGCATTCCACTGAAGAAAAGCAACGAGCATACAGGAAAGCAGATACAAAAAGAACTTGTGAAGGAAAGGACACCAGGAAACGGAGAGGAGGGGAGAATCCAGTCAGGAAAGCCTCCTGACACACTGTCCTAGACGCACTGAATTTGAGATGACTATGGGACATCCAAATAAGATGCCCACTAGGCAACAGAGAAGGGACACCCAGATCTGGGAGTCTGCACTGAGCCAACAGTGAAACTGATGGGAGATGATGAGATGATGGAGAGAGAAGGAAAAGGCGCCCCAGGACAGAGCCCTGGAGGCCAGCCCAAAGGGGATGAAAAGGGAATTCATGAAAGAAAAAGCATTCACTATAAAACAAACCCTGTGCCAAACACTGGGCAAACACAACAACTAAGACAGTCCCTGTTTTCAAGAAGCTTACAGTCTAATACAGGAGACATCACACAAAGGCAAGTGGTAGCCAAGGAGAAGCATTTTGGTTAGTAAAGCTATAGGAATCCCTCCAGGGCACGGTTTCTGGGGTAAGGTGGTTTGTGAAGAAGCTGTGAAAGAGGGAAAAGAGAGCCAGATTTTGAAGAGGGGAGAAAATGGAGCCAATGAGTACAGAGGGCTTCTCCTAGGAGTTTGACTATGAAAGGGAAGAGATAACCTGTTAGCTTGGGTACAATCAAGTGAAAGTTCTTCAAAGATGAGAGAGATCTGGGATGTTTACAAGCAGTAGGAAGGAGATAAGATGAGAAGGGATCAAAGACACACATGGAGAAGTTGGCAACTGCAAGAGAAGAATCACCTGTTTCCTCTAAGACCAGAGCAAAGGAGGAGAGACTGATAAAAGACGCTGAGGTGATTTCATTGGGGGAGAAGAGGGAACTCACAATGGACAGCCTCAAGGATTTTTGTTTGTTTGTTTTTTTTAAATGAAATATGAAGCTAAGTCCTCGGGAGAAGAGGGGTGTAAGTGGCTTGGGAAACAAGATTTGCAATAGCTGTTGTAATGAGTGGGAGACTGAATGTCAAGATCTGGGGTACACTAATGAGCTAGTCTTGTTATAGGGCATACTCCCTGTGCCTAGCATCACACAGGTGAGAACAGAGAAGGTGAGAACAATCCAGGGCTGGGGTTTAGAAAGGGATGGATGATCAGTGACAGGACAAGGAGCTCAAAAGCAAAGAACAAAGGGAGGAAAGTGAATTAAGTGCAGGGGCGATGGCTGGCAAAACCAAGAGGAAGGCAAGTGACAGAGGCCAGAGAGTCATGCTTTGATAAGGCTCGCCTTTCTAACATCCCCAACCTTCACTTAAAAGCCTCTGGGGGGAACTTACTACTTCCCAAAGCAATCCATTGTACTTTTGAAAAGCTCCAATGGTTAGTAAAATCTTCCTTCCAGGGAGCTGAAATCTGCCCTCTGAAACATCCACCCACAGCCCTCAGTTTGGTTCTCTGGGGTCAAATAGAACAAGCCTCCTCCTCCTCCCACTTGATAATCCTTCAAAATCCTTGAAGACAACTATCATGCCCGCTCAAAAGTACTCTTCTCCAGGATAAATGTACCTAGTTCCTCATACCAAATACTTACAGGGTATGATTTCAAAGTGTTTCAGCATCCTGCTCACCTTTCCCTAGTACTACTGTTCCGTTTTCCTCCAACGTTTTCCCTAACATGTCATTTTTCTCTTTTGTCAGCTATGCCACCCTGATAGGTGGTAGATAGAAGGAACATCAAGGTAGCTTTCATTTGTATTTCTCTAATTATTAATGATTTAGAGCATTTGTTCACATGACTGTTGATAGCTAGCAATTCTTCCTTTAAAAGTCACCTGAGAACAGAGCTCAGGTCTGGGAAGCAGAAAGAAGTACAGAGAGCTCTCTCACCTTCTCCCGCTCCTCCAAACAAACCTAGCAAACCCACTAGACTGAATCCTGATCAGGAAATCCAAGAAAAACATCACAGTGAGAAGTTTTTCCAGCCCAGATAGGCATAGGGCATAGACAGAGAGTTCTGTGGACACTGGGGCCCAGGTCTGACCAGGAGTGTGCCGAGGGGAGAACATTTAGGAAAAGAGAGTGTGCCTAAGGGGAGGAATTGGTCCCAGGCCTTGCAGGATTCAGGAAGGGGTGGCAACAGGCAGATCTTTCACTCAGGGTCACAGACCCAAGCTTGGAACAAGGATCTGTGCCTAGTGGTAATGAGTAGTCACAGGCCCTGGACTGTATACCAAGCAAGGAGCAAGTTCAGAAATAAGCAGCAGCTGAGTGGGGCTTAGACCCCCAGGAGCAACATGGGGTCTCAATGACAGCTTCTAGCTCTTTGGACCTGCTTCAAGTCTCTTTAGCTTCAGTGAGCTCACGAGTTTCTTTGGGTCTCTGCACTCACTTCAGACAACTTCTGGGCAGTGACCTCTACCAATAAGGAGAGTCCCATACCAATGGCCTTTGGGACTCAGACTAGAACTCAATACCCCAAGAAAGCTACAGCAAGACCAGCCCAGACATTCCCTCCAAAAGTCTACAGAGCCTGGCCCATTAAATGTAGAAGGTAGGATGGAACAATGAGCAAACAAAAAAGGCCAAATGTGAGCTCATGCGAGTGCATACACACACCCCCACATCCCCCCTACATTAAGAGCTACTATGGTGTAGGGAAGCTCAAGACAACAACTCAAAAAGAGGATGATTCTGAACATCTACAAGCAAAGCCTTACAGAAAAACACAGTGTGGGCATAAACTCAATTGGTATTCTTGGAACAGATGAAACAAAAGTTTTAAAAGTTTTTTAATGTTTTTATAAATAAGAGTGCCAGAGTAAAAAAGTAGAAAAGAAATGAATTATGAAAAAAAAAAGAACTGCAAAGGAAATTAGCAGCTTTTCAATAAAAGGTAGAAAACTATAACAAAGCATCAAAATCCCTAAAAATCAGAAAGGACAAAATTGAGACCAATGACCCTACAAGACAATAAAAAATATTACAGCAAAGTCAAAAGGCTGTAAAAATAGAAGAAAATATAAGGTTATCTCAGAGCAAAAACAACTGACCTGGTGAACAGACTGAGAAGAAAAAAGTTTAAGAATCACTGGACTATCTG